CGTTTTATTGGATTTTTTTCGAAAAAAATCATAATTTTGTATTTCGACAATTTTGTTTTTGTTGTATTTTATATTAAGTAACTTTTAATGTTTAAATCGTCTCTAGACATTGTATTTTGTACTGATAATGAATGAAATAAATGGTTCTACTCTGTGATTTGTGAATTTTTCATACAACTGAAATTCGTTCATCTATTGCGGCATAGAAATACATCGTATTTACTGCGTAATCTATTTTTTTTTTTAATTTTGAAAAAATGTTTTGTGGTTTGGATAATTTGTGCACAATACCGTTAAAATTACAAGTCCGTGATTACAAATGTGTAATTAGTCATTTAATTCTAATATCACTACATGTATACACATTAATTGAAGCGACTGTACTTATCGTTGGTAACAGTAAGTAGCTGTTTATAATTCCCCAGCATGGTCAGGATTAAAACATGTTTGTTAGATAGGATGTTAAAATAATTGCGTTACAATCGAGAAAGGGTCTTTCTTGTTGGCGCGAGTTCCAACGAGACTGAGAGTTCTTTTTAACCTTGATAAATGGTGTTTCTATTTTTTTAGAATTACAAAAAAACGTAAACAATAACGCAGCGATCATAAACCTTTATCTCCAGATAATAAATTGCAACAGTGTCACCGTGAGAATTGATGACCACATTTACAAATGTCTTGGTAATATGCTTTCGGATACATAATTCGTGCCACTTTGCATTTGTATTTTAAAGGGCTAGAATACAAAGATATTATTGTGTAAGAAAACAGTTTTTCTCGATTTTACAAATTCTACAATGGCATAACGGACATGACATTTGGTATAACCAGTTTCAAAATTGCATAATAGTTTTTGATCAATAAAACAATTTTTAAGCTTAGGATTAATTAACACTGAAAATGCAAGGTGGTTCGATTTCTGTGCGGAAGTATATAAATAAAAAATATAATAAACAACATTAGACAACATCACATACATTGCTCTGATCGCAAAGTATGTAACTACAACACTTGTGTTATGAAATTCGAAATAACGTCGGTACCACAAACACACGACCCGAGACAATATGGAAAAGTTAGTCCGGGACCTCGGAGATGAGACAACATAAAAACCGCTGTGCAAGTCACTCGATCACAGAGGTCGTCAGATATATATTATTATTTTATAAAAAAGTTTCCGTGATAAAGGTTCATAACATCTGCTTCTATACGTTTTATAAATAAATTTGATTTATGTATATAAAAATGGAAAGATTTCACTTAATGTTTATTCTATGAGTAAATATTATACGTTAATGTTTGAGAATTACGTTTCACGGTACTTATTAAATTATTTTGCTTATAAAATGACATTGCGCCTGACAACAGACCTAAAATTTCCTCCTAACGATGAAGTATAGACGTGACACGGCATGATGGGAGGTTTCAAGTATAACAAAATTTATTTCGACAGTCGTCTAAAAATAACTTTTTCATTTTCGTCAGGTTATTATATAGAGTGCGAAACGTGTAAGAAATGATTTTTATTTCTAGATTCTTTGCAATTACAAACTTATATGTTGTAAGGTACAAATAACCTTTTCGAGTACAACGCAATTATGTTAATCTGTATTTTTGTCTTAAACGTATAATTCATTCTATCTACAACTAAAATACTACAGTGAGATCTTATATTACACCATATTTCCTTAATCTATAAAGATAATTTTAACAACATTGATATATATACACAAACAATAATTGCATAAAAATACAAAATTAGTATAAAATTCAATTTTGAATTCTATTAGGCTCATTTTACATTCCTGCGGAACGGAATAGAAGTGGATTTTTGTAACAAAATATAAAATTTTGTAAAATATAAAATAGCACAATGAACTTTATGTCAAATTGCGTAACGTATACACTATAGTCTTGTCTTTTTTGAAGACGGAGTAAAATGACTTTTGTAGGATTGCCAGTTTTCATAATTTTTAAAATAGTTATGTAGTTGTTGTTTAAAGTTTTATCGATAAATTGTGAAAGAAGATAAAATTTTGCCAAAAATGACTAAATTGTGAACATTACAACGCTCGGATAATTACTAATTGCGTTATTGCCTTCTTTATTCTTATTTTGACAGTTTGCCTATTAGCATCGATATATTTTTTATTCATATATCTTTTATCAAGAATAGCCGGATTTGATTATCTATATTGAATTAAAACGAAAAACTTTAAAATACGTCTCCTCTTTGTATTTTTCATAAACATGACTCCTAAATACAGTGTATGTATGTATGAACTTACTAAAAACTGACAATTCAAGTGAAATTGTGCTCAATAATTGGATGAATAATGGGTCAAGGATGATTCAAATGAAACAAGTTCGGCTATTTATTCCTTAAGCGCAACCAATATTCAGTCGATATTCGATAGAATATTTATCGGCTGCAATCACTAGTTGCTCGCAAGCGGGCAACACTTGCGCAATGAACTGTCAATTTACTCGGTCTTCAAAAAAGACAGATTATAGATACGAGAGTTCTCGAAACTGCGCGAAAATTTTACGTATGACTCGCAACGTGTTTTTTGGCTCGTATTGTGGTGCACGTTATACATAAAGTTCATTATGCTATACAAGAACTCGCTTTCACTCCATTGAATATAAATTGAGAGCAATGTAAAATAAGCCTTGGCAGATCTATAACTCAAATGTTTCGAATAAGAAAATCAAAAATAAATTTCTTACTCTTTCTTTTGATTTGCGGGATCTTATTATGACTTGCATTTACAGCGAAGGAATGTAACAAGAGGCAATTAGCTTGGTGTACGAAAAGTTTAGCGGCAGCAGAGCTCCTTGAAAAAGAGGTCGTCCAGGGAAATACTGCCACCTTACAATATTAGCATTATTGCGTTCCGTTTTTAAAGGGTAAGAGTGCTGGTGAAATTACAGGCACGTGGGACTTATCAACTTACGTCTCAGGGTGATCGGAGGGGTATTGCCACTGCGTCCAGTTAATCTGCTGGCTTTACCTATGGTGCAGGGTGTACGGCGCATACGTGTGCAGGGTTTTATTATTTTCCACTAAGAGTTTAGTCGCGGGCGGCTGGCCGAGCGCGACCCTTATTTATTCAAATAAGTTGTTATACCATACCCATTGACACGGCCGCGACTCTGAAGCAAAACTAGCCGCTACGACTACTGTCGCAAGCGGCTATACGCGATTTAAATCCGGAAAAATAGTTTCATTTCCTATGTGTAGCAATCGCGAAAACCTAAGAACTCGATAACAAAGTACTAGACTAACGCGCGCCTAGGCGGCTAGGATCGTTCAATTTCATTTACTATTTTGAGGTAACCACGCGTTATTGCGCGAAATTATTGGGGAATATTAACATTAAAAAATGGGGATTTTTTATGTGTTTTACTGAATCTTACAGGAAAAAAAATAGTCAGTGATTTTTTATCATCCTGTATAAATATGGTGGCAGTAGTTCTCTGAACGTACTCTTTCAGTAAACACCGGATGTTAATTAATTTTCGCCTGCCACTAGTGCCTATTGCATAACCCGGTCCCCGAACCAGGACGTACATGGGTTAACACAGTACAGTCCTGTCCTCTTGTACCAATAGTAATGGCGAATATAGATAATTATAATCAGATTAGTGTTTCCACAAGCTAATAAAATCGTTCTTTGGCAGAAACCGTGTAAATAAAATATTGAGCTACGTAAAAAAATAATACGTAAACATAAGTTGTGTAAAATATTTAGGTATACATAAGTATCATAAATTAAACTAAAATGAACACGAAATAAGGAATGTAGTGACTTTGAAATTTCCATTAACGTAACAGGTGTTATTCTGATCAAGGCTGCAACGGCAGACAGCAAACGACAGACCACATGTGATTGCATGGTTTCTATACTGCCTTCGGAACGAAAAAGGGTACAACTAACATTTTTATCAAAATTGAGTTACATACATACATACATATTCGAGATCAGGAAATAAAGGCCAATCCAACTTTTTTTTTTTTTTTTTTGGAAATATCGATACCAGAAGTGTCAATTAACGTAAGGCACATTTTGTCGAAAGTGAGTTACATATATCATTGGATTCGGAAGTTCCTGCTCTATCGATTGGTATTATTAAAATTTAGGAATGCCCGTGGTTTAAAATATAGCATGTCCCTTACATGAAAAAACATTAAAAAAGATATTTAGTTGTGCCTTACGTTACTAATATTTTATGTGTAAACCGTCGAGGATAGTGTAAGCAGGAAGAGAAATAGAAAATTATACGTAATTCTATTGTAAAGGATCATTTAAAACAGAGGACATTTAATATTTTAAACCACTTATAGCATGAAAGAAGAGGAAATTCTAAGAAACTTTGCTCCAGACACAATCAAAGTTGGAGCAGACAGTAAAAAGTTATAGACAGATTAAAAAAAAATAAAATCGTTTTTTGGCTCTCCTGAAAAACCATGGTTTGTCCCTTACATTAATTGACATTGCTGGTATTAATATATTATTCAATATATTATCTCAATATTTTTTGAATATAACAGCAAGCGCAAAGGGCATAACAGACTCCAATGATCAGATTTTTACTATAAAAAGTCAAATATGACTTTTCATGAGTCAAGTATTAAAAGTCACATTTAAATTGGTTATGCCCTTTATGCCGTTATGCAGTCATAATATTTTTATATATTTTTCTACTATGCATAAAAAAAATATTTATTTTTAAAAACTACTGATTAAAATACAATGAAAATTTCTGTATAAAACATGTGGTATGTATTTATAACATAAATAAACTACTATGTATATTTTTACTATTTTTTTTATCTGAAAAGCCTAAAACAGATTTAAAAACATTTATCTACGAATTTAGAATTTGTTGCTTGTGCCTTTCTTTCTCCCTAAGGCAGTAAGATACTATACGAAATAGATACCCTGCAAAACAATACTCGTCTATTAATGCACATAGAAACCAAAGTTGGTCTGCGGTCGGTAAGTACGGTCTGCCGTCTTCAGGTTTGCACCGATGGCACCTTAAGTGACTGCTTTCTTTGTTAATATTGTGTTGCACAATTGTCATAAAGAGATGCGCATAAATCAGAAATATGTCACCAATATATATACGATTTTAGTCTACGTCATTATTAACCAACCAAATTGAAACTAAAGCCTTTGTCTTATAGCAGTCGCACGAGTAGCATGCCGATAGCCGCGCCAACCGTCAGACCGACGCTCAGCATTGTCGCGATTACGGATGACGCCTTTTCTCGCTCGTGCATTTCCACCACCCTGCAAAATTACAAAGACTCTTGTATTAAGGCGAAGTATTTCAACGTAAGCCTAGATTTTAGGAAGTGAGGTGTGGTGTTTCGCTCCTCGCGTTCGCTCTAAATTAATATGAATAAAAACAGGCGGAGATTTTATTTTATAATATCAAGTGACGGGACGAACAAGTAATGCGCCTGATGGTAAGCTACACGCCTGTCCATAACAGTTGCAGTGCCACTCAGAGCTTTAAATCGCAAAGATCTGAGGGGCACTGCCACTGCGCCCGTCACCCTGAGACATAAGTTGACAAGTCCCATGTGCCTGTAATTTCACCATTTGACACAGATCAGACGTCGACAAGCGCCCGATGGCGACTGATGGGGCAGCCGACGTCCGGTGTATCGTTAAACCGCTGGGAAATTTGCAAATATTGGAATAAATGCGAATTTAATAACTAATAGGGCTTCAGTTGAAAACTACAATTTAGCAAGTTCTCTGAAATATACCCATATAAAAATTAAGTTGTACTTAGCCATTTCATTCTTAAATAATTCGTTTTAGACTTTTACTTTAGCCTGTTTTCAGGGTTTTATATGATCGGATAAACTATTAATACATCCTATTAATACATTCTTTAGACAACATCCTTAGGTGTATCGTATATTTTTTGTAATCGTTATAGTAAAAACCTAATTTTCTCCAGTGACTCACCCGTAATTTAGGTTTTTATATTTATGTACAGCTACAGCGCTGCCTACTAAAACATATATTTGATGCTTGGGAAAGGTCCCAGAACGCTATTGGGGTTTTCTGTGACCTTTCAAAAGCATTTGATTGTGTGAACCACATTAGTCTTGTTAGGCAGATATACAAACCATATTTGTGTTGCAAAAAGGAGCGATTCGTTCTGTGTACCGTTTAGGTTCTCGGGTTTCTCTCAGAGAAAAAATTAAGGAGTCTGGTATCATGACTGTGGCATCGCAGTACATTTACTCAAATATTTTGTAACCCCGTAAAAATATACATAATTTCATTAAGAAAGAAGATATTCATAATATTAACCTTAGAACTAAGTCCAAACTCATGGTACCACAATTTCGTTTAACTAAGGCAAACGATTCTTTTATAGGGAACTGTATACGCTTTTGCAATAAGATTCCGGAGAATATATTAAGATTATCATTTCCTAAGTTTAAAACTTACATTAAAAGTATTTTAATTGAAAAGTCATATTACAAAATTGAAGAGTATGGTTTAGATAAAGAAGTATGGAAAGACAACAAGAGTCTAGATTCCATACAATTATGATTGAAATGGTATTCCATAGCATTTAAGTTTATTTGAAAAGAGCAATCCCTAGAGTTTCTTGCTGGTTCTTCTCAGGGAGGTCAGCATAGTGAACGAGCAGTAGCTTAAAAAATGACGTTTTCAAGTGTAAAAATTTTGCCTATGGAATAAATGATTATTTGACTTTGACTTTGAAATTTATGTGTCAAATAATCTCTATATCTGATAATTGTTCAAAATCATGATTTGTACAATCTCTAACAGCATTAAACCTTATCACATGATGTTATTAATTAGTTATAATATAACGAATCGTTTAATTGTTTTCGTTAAACAAACAATAAAATAACATAAAAATGGCTGCCACCCACGACTAACGTTATTATATATACATCCCACATTATGGAACCTTAACTGGATTAAGTGTATTTTTCGTTATTTATTTATTATTTTAATTGTGCATGCCCATTGCTATAAAACAGATTACACCTAGTTTAGTATGCATGAGAGTAAAAAATATACCTTCAATATGTTTGTATGCCTAATGTTTAACCACACAATGACTATGAAGATGAGTAATTGAGAATTTCCACATTTAGCAAACAATATAAAGCGCTAAATAAAGATAATGAGAGATTCATAAAAAACATAATTACATAAAAAACTAACTGAGTAATTAAACAAACCATAAGAACAAAAATACTAAACAAATATACAAAAGTATCATCACCATTCTCGTGATGTGTCATCACGTGAAGTGTTATGAATTTTTTTTAATCACAAATTTGATTTTAAGATTATTGAATTTTATAGAGCGGTGGTCGACCAGAAAATGGGACATTTTTCTCGTAATTTTTTTGCTAATCAAATAATATCGTACTCCTCATGGAAGAATGGTATAAGTAAGTTGCGTCAAAAATGTTTATTGTTTCATTAGGTACAGAAAAATATAATCCACATCCTCTCCAATTCTTGTAACTCTATCGACTAATATTGTCGATATGATATGATGGATGAGGTAACGCAAAGGCATCCCAACTTAACTGCAACCGTTTTTAAGAGCTTTGTAAATATGTGTATGTGGTTTGGCATTATCATTAGACACCTCTACAATTCGGTGTTATTAATTCATGAATTATAAACTTACAATTTTCCCGCCTATTTTTAAAATGCGCGCTAAAATATTGTTTTTAAAGTGACCATGGACAATATATCATTTTAAAAAAGTTCCTCTTTTTTTGTGGTAAAAGTTGCATGAATTTTTTTGCCAACCCATTATGGAATGGTTGCATCACCCGCAGAAATATTTAGTAAGCAGTTGCCATACATTAATGAACTTACCTAGTAGAATTAATCATGATAATATTAGTCAAGTATCCATTGGTGAAGGCGAAGACGATCATGATGATGATGTACTCCCAGTCCCAAAGGAAGAGCACGGGCAGATGGCTTCGAGGCTGCGCGTTGCACAGCATCAGCATTGGAACGCCCACTACCCGGAGGAAGCTGGAGCATGCTATCAGCCATTGGTTATTCGGCTGATAGAAAATAAAAACAGATTATTGCACACATCGAAATTAAATTTATTCTACGTACAAACAAATTATTTGGATTATTTCCATAATAGAAGAAAAATAATATTTCGATTGAATTATACTAATTTTATTTTTTTAAATAATAGACTCACTCTTGGCCACAATCTCACCTGATGTTAAGCGACGATGTACCTGACCGTGGTACGCGTTTGCTTAAAAAATGCATATTCACTCTAGCACTGAATAGCTCCAAATTGTACTTTTCGAGAAACACAGATGCCGATAGAGTATTCCATTGCTTTGGCTTACGCATCAGAAAGCAGGAAGCAAAGCGCTTAGTGCGAATTGGTGGTATATCAACGACATAAGGATGGAGTGTTCCGGACTTTCTAGTCGACCGAAGCAGGAACGGTGAGGGTGGAACTAAATTGAAAAATTTATCCGATAGAAAACCGACAAACAGGCTATTTTTCTGCAATAGTGGAGATTTTGTACCTTCGACTCCACAAGAGAATTGTTGTTAATAAGTTAATTTGCTTTTCGCCCCAACGTATTTGGGATACGGACATTTCTAAATAGGTTCGAGTAATGTCATAAGGCAAATTTCGTTGTTCTAGTACTCATAACGCAGAGAAATTCTTAGTTTTTGACCAGGTTTGGTTGTTTGGCACATTATTTTTATTAAATCTACAAATTTTTGAAATTAAAATGACATTTGAAAATGTTAAGAACACGGGGTAGTGAATTAATGACGCCCATGCAAGCAGTGTCCACGGTAAAACGTCATACAATGGACTTGTTTGTATGTAAAACCCGCTGACTGACCACCACGGGTTACCCGTGATCATGGGACCTGTAAAGGGTCCGAAACGTTGGTTTGTTTGAAAAATCAAATATGCGATTTCAATCCGAAGAATAGTTAGTTCCATTTCCAATGTGAAACAATCGCGAAAACCTAATAACTCGATATTTGTTATGTTTTCTTGTATGCCTTTTATACGAAATAAAATAAATCTAAGAGAGAGTGAGGGAGAGAAAGAGCAAAATAGAAAATAGAGATGAGGTAACCATTTACAATGCTTAACTAACTACACTTGGTAGCAAATTAACCAAATCACACATTTTAGTTTTTTTTTAAATTTGATACTCTTTCGAGCGTTATGGTTTCTACTAAGATATAAATAGGCGTGATCCAATTTGTTTGTGCGCGAGTGTAGTTTCAAGTCTAACTTCAGACTTTTCTAATTAATTTTTAATAAATTACAAGGCAATGTTACCCTTTGCAAGAATCCAGCAACCAATCGTCCAGAATAATCCCCGCAGTTAAAGATTAGATAGTTCACCACTGGTACGAAGTAAATATCTGCAAAATATAAACAAAAACAACCATTAGTGCCTTGCAAAAAGGACGATTAAGACACAAGTCCGAGTCTGGTAAGATAAACATATAAACACGTATTTATAATGTCGCATAAAATGATATCATATTATATCTGCGCAATTTGTAAAAATGAGTTTAGTATGAATTGAGCTGTCTTCTAAAGCTACCAATATTGTCATAGTAACATGCTTTTTACATAATGATATTAAGTAACGGGACGAACAAGTCGTACACCTAGTGGTAAGCGACACGCCTCTCCATAACAGTTGCAGTGTCACTCAAAACTTTAAATCGCAAATATCTGGCACTGCCAGTGCGCCCGTCACCCTAAGACAAAGAGTTAACCAGTCGCACGTTACCTGTAACTTGAAGAGCACCCTTACCCTTCAAAACCGACTTACTGCTTGGCGGTAGAAATAGGTATGGTGACAGATTTTTCTGGACGAAATCTTTCGCAAGGAGCTCTACTGCTACTAATTAAGTATTCAAGCCAGTTTTATAAATATTTCACGCGTATAAGCACGTGCGTGATTCTAATATGGACGTGCCTGTGTACGTCGTTCAGAAATGCGCGCGCGTGTGCGTGCGTGTGCGTGTGTGTGTGCGTGAGTGAGTGAGTGAGTGAGTGAGTGAGTGAGCGAGTGAGCGAGTGAGCGAGTGAGCGAGTGAGCGAGTGAGCGAGAGAGCGAGAGAGTGAGTTAGTGAGTGAGTGAGAGAGAGAGAGAGTGAGAGAGAGAGAGAGAGAGAGAGAGTGAGAGAGAGAGAGTGAGAGTGAGAGAGAGAGAGAGAGAGAGAGAGAGATAGCGCGTGTGTGTGCGGGTGTTTGTCAGAAATGCCTAACAAATTACATTACAATCCATACTCACTATTCCAATCGGTTCCCTTGGTAACAGGATGAGACTCGACGAGCACGGTAACAGCTGGGTACACAGCCATCGATATCGCGAACACAGCGAAAATTGCAATCGCATACACCCATATCTTCTTCAATATTGACACCATCGATACTTCTCGATGACGATTACTGGCAATCCCTCCACAACCTCTTAGCAGGTGGTATGTAAAGAAGTCGATTTTGTATAATAAAGCGTAGGATATTAACGAGCTGACAACCATAATATCGGCTATAATGAAGTATATAAGAGCGCTGTGTAATGGCGATATTTTGAAGGCAAGAGATATGATCTGCGCAATAGCTGCGATAATTCCGCCGAGAGATTGCCCGCTTACAACAGCTGCCATGTATTCTTTGGAAAATCTGCTCGCTATTCCTACTAACCCACCGATGAAAACTGCGCTGGCGGCTGTAAGGAAAACAATCAGCGTTACAAGTCGATATTCTCGACCTTCAATGATTCAAATGTTTCCCGTACTATTACGGTTCATTTTGCTTGAGTCGACAGTGACATTGGCTTTATTTCTGAATTAATTTTTCTTACAAACGAAATTAAAGCCATTTGAAAAATGTATGTCGTATACCATACGTGTTCTATTCAGTTTAGTTGATATAAAAAAAAAACTTTGGTATATGCAAAGTACCTATTGAATACAGCGGTTTTCTTGTAAAATTTCGAGATAAGGTTGTGTTTTTTTTTTCTTCCATGAAAATTTTTAGGAATCGTGTTTTCACACCGTATAGTATTCAGAGTATATCCTCAATTTTACTATTCAACACTTTCACTATTATGCGAAATCAACCAAAGTTATTTGCTCTTAATAATGTCTTAAAATAACGCTTGTTTGACCTCCAACTCACCAGGTGGTGACAATGAGCATGCATACCTAAATAATGCCTATTCACTCTCGCCATGAAAAGGCCCAAGTTATATCGTTCAGGGAATAAGTCTGCAAGCAGGGAATTCCACTCCATAGCCATTCGTTATAGAAATGTGGAAGCGAAACGCTTCTGGTGAGTCTTTGGAATGTCCATAACATATGGGTGGAACCTTAGCCTACTGTTTTGTCCCCCGATTATGGAAAGCATTAATTCTATTAACACGTATCTGTCGCTATAGTCAACCTACGACGCTGTTGTAACTGTCTCGAATGCATTACTGTACAAAATCTAAAGAGGTAGTGGAGTACATTAGACTTAACGCCAAACAGCCTGAGGGTAGAGCGGTTAAAGTCCCGCCACAAAACGAATTTTAATTCATTTGTGGTGAGGGTGCCGACAGATTATTAACTGTCCACCTTTATAATAATAATAATAATGAACATTCATAGCCCCGCACTAGGGAAACCCTGAGTCGCGGGTGCCATGGACACACACATAGACACTACAAATTACACCCAAACTCACGAGAGAAGTAAATGTAGGCCATACAAATATTTCCCCCGGCCCGGGAATCAAATGCGGGACCCCGGCGTGGCAGACTAGCATGGTAACCGTTCGGCCACGGAACCAGTTATGAAGGAGTTTTTGCCGAAGGGTGTCATATACACCTCGAGGGCATACCAAACTGGGGGCATAAGGAACGGGCCCCTAATTATAATGTATAAATAATAATAATCCCATTATTGGCAACTATATTCATTCATTTTTTTTTCAAATAGTGTTTTCTCAATTCCATCATTTTTGAGTTACGACAGTATTTGGTGTCATGTGCGATTTGTGAACATTAGTAGCCTTAATCACGATGTCTTCCTTCACCTTCAAAAGTGACCAAACAATTATTTGACCCTACAACAGTTTGTTATCCCATACCTAATGCGCTTAATCGACAAACCAGCATAACTTGAAAAACGACCTTGACGAGTACAGCCAGATACAGTGTAGCGTCACCAGGCGTCCGGATAAAGCCGGACATAGTTAGGCTGTGGATGCGTGTCCAGGCATGCGTTTTTTTTGTGAAGGACATTTCTTGACTGACCGGATAAGAGAGCGAGCGAGCTGAAAGCTCTTAACCCCTTAAAATCTGGTCAAGTTAGACGGTGTCAGACTTTTGTATATAACCAGTCAAGTGGTCGTAGGGGCCGAGCGGGGCGTCTCGACGAGCAATGCGCGATTGCGAATTATGTCGTTATTCGACTTGTTAGTAATTAATTACTAATCCTGTCATTCGAGTGACAAATTAATCACCTACTAATTTTCGTATTCGAATGATGGGAATGATCATTAATTACTAATTTTATTATTAATCCACAGATTTCATAGAGCATTTCTGCCTAGCCCTCTCTGACATATGGTAAATATCGTAAATGTGGCGGAAACAGGGATATTTTGATATGGACATGGTGAAACATCTGGTCGATTTCGGAGCGGTTCCGACATAATAATCATTAGATTCGTACACCCGACGGAATAGCAGGGGCATTCGAGTCGAATGATTGTCCTCGGATTCGACTTGGGCGAATGATTTGCCCATTCGAATGATTAGTATTAGTAACGTTCAAAGTCGCGCATCGCTAGTCTCGACACTATAGTAAATGATTAATAATAAAGAAGACTGATTTATACAACTGTGGCCGAACAGTTATCATGCCGAACTGCCACGCAGAGGTCCCAGGTTCGATTCCTGGGCCCGAACAAATATTTGTATAGCCTACATTTGTTTCTCTCATGAGTTTGGGTGTAATTTGTGGTTGTCTATGTGTGTGTCCATGGCACCCGCGACACAGGATTTTCCTAGGACTATGTTGAGTGTGTGCGTTATTATTATTATCATTATTGTTATTCCATAAGATTTTAAGAAGACTGTTTTAATAAAAGAAACCTGACTTTACATTTAAAAGATGTCGTATTAAAACTTCGACACTAAATCCTTAAAAGTGTAGGGTGTCCGGCCTTTTTACCCAAATGTCCGGCTAAACTGGCTGGTCTGTCCTGCTGTTTGGTTTTAAGACTTGGCAACCCTACATTAGTTCTGATAAAAACAGAGCACATGTATAAACCTATAATATTTATTTTAGAGCGCATTCGATGAGCACGATGGCTGAGTCAACCAAATGATGTTCTAATCAAGTGAACCTACTGACACACGAGCTAACTTCTAATCAACCCTACTACGCAATATGTTAATAGTTACATTATAAGGCATAATAAAGTATTTTAATAATATTTTTTATTGTAATTATACTGGTTTTGAATACCTTTGACGGCAGACTAGTTTTTCGCACTAATTTAAACTTCGTCGTTAAAACATAACGAAGTTATCGAAACGTAAATGTAAAGAGAATAATATTCATTTATTAAAGTAACCTAAAATGTACAGTATACACAAAACATGTATTACAATAAAAGGAAAACTAATCGCCAGAACACGGCTCCACCGCCACATAAGCGATAAAAGGAAAATATATAGTTTAATTTTCCCGTCCGTTTAACATCTTTGTATAATTCACATTTCGTATACATTTTTAAGAACTTAAGGCGTGTCACCGGAGAAGAAGCGGGAAAAACTGTTTTGCTAGATGAAATGGTTTAGGTATTTACTATTAAAAACGACCTTACAAAAAATTATATTCTCTAAAGAATGTAAGTACGAATTCGTTACACTATATGATGCACTTTACTCGATCATATAAATGTTACTCTACATGTTCCGCCAAATTATTATAATATTAATTTCAAATCGGCAGTCTAATTAACATGCATCTTTAGGTATTTGCATAAAATTGTAACAGTATTGTATTACAACATAGCATATGCCACAAGCGTGAACTAGATACCTAGTACTAAAACAAGGGATCAAAGTGTCATCTTTCCTATGCAAATGATAAGAGACATTGTTTATGCAATTAATCTATCTATTAGTTTATGTTAGTTGTTATTTACTATTGAATTAAGTTAAACACTTTGTTTTTTTTATATGTGTACACAAATAACAAAAACAATTTGTTATTAGGTTTATTATTATTATCCTATTCCTAACTGTCGGGAGTTTTAGGAAAAGGTAATTTAGTGCAATTGATATCCTGTTTTTGAGGTAGCTCAGTGGGAGAAAGTTTGCATTTTAATTGAGAAGTCGACGGTTCAAATCCCCGTGGAAACATGACTGAGGACTTTAATTTCTAAGTGACCTATTTGTGAAGAAAAACATAGTGATGAAAATTTAAAACGTGTAACAATCCTTACTACGGAATACACCCATGCCTAGCAGTGAGACGTGTAACATAATTAACGGGTTGACAATATTGTTATTATTGTTACCCTTGTAATCTTTGGATCGATAATTTAAAAAAAACAGTAGTTTGAATGGTAACACTGAGCTACAAATACAGAAAATAATGTCAATTCCACTGGGCTATCCTTCAAGTTGAGTAGGATCAATATATTTGTTTCTTATTTATATTGTACTAAGTAGGGAAATGTTTAGTATTGATTGATGTACAATTTTTTTATGTGGGACCCAAATAAATGACAATTGGTTATGAAACAGACAAGCGCCTGTTCATACATTTTTTTAACTCCTGTAGATCTTTAAACTCACCAGTCATAATAACTACAGTGACCATGGTGACGATGAAGAACTCATTCTGCCAGTTGTCGGTGTCTACCTGCACCAGAGACGTGGTCACCAGAAAACATATGCACACCACTACCAGGGAGCCTTGCAGGCGGCTCTTCATTGGCACCCTGCATGAAAGAAATTCATTAAATTCATCGAGTATATAACCCGAAAAAGAGACGAAATAAAGGCCATACATTCCTGGTAAAACATTAGCGATACAGCTCTTATAAATATCAACTCTCGTTTGCACTGTAATATAAACAGGCCAACTACTGACCTGTGTGCATACCTTCATATATTTCAAAAAATATTCTGTATTTATTGTAATAAAGATAATATCTGTAACAATGCCGTGCTGTTGTATTCGGTAATGTGGGAAAAACAGCAAAACATCTAATTACAAAACAAACGGAATCACATTTCATTGGTAATTAAATATTAAATATGTAATTTTACAACTGGTCGATTTGAAGTGAAACAATTGACGACACCCGTCAATTCGGGCTGGCCAATCGGAGCGCAGTTGTCACAATAATGATATGGCAGAATTGCTTTCAAACAAATTAAATGACATTTCGTCTCTATTTCTGGTTATATACTCAAATATTAAAGTCTGCCTCAATGTTCAAATTCTGCTTCTACAAATGTAATAGAGATGAATTTAAATCCTATGCGTCATGCTTGACGTGATCTTCACCTGTACCACTGTCATCATCATCAGACTCTACAGTTAAGCAATCGCAAAAAGCAAAAAGCAAGACTTCAATTTATTTTCAATTCATTCTAGGTACACTTATGGTCGTATTCCAGAACTCAATGCTCAAGTCAGGATTTGAGTATTGCAGTGAGCACTGAAAATCATACACAAGTCCTTGCCATTAGGGTCGTATTTCCAGTGCTTGTGTTTCCAGTGCAATCCTGACTTGAGCATTGAGTAGAGTTCTAGAATACGACCCCTAGATTCATTTAGTTTAATCATGAATATAGAATGCAAGACTATATATATATATATACACATACACATAGTCTTGCAAGTTTATCAGTATCAAAATACTTTTAGTAAACATTTTGATTACCATAAAGTGAGAGTTTGGAAGAAATAGGTATTGCGCTTGTTCTAATATTACGTCCTATACGTCATTTGATATTACTAAAATATTTCTTATAGTATTCCTGTCTTGTAGAGCAAAACCTAAACTGAATAATTTGTATTGTAATTTTCGACGTTTAACAGAAAAATTATAGTATTAAACCTAAAAATTAAGCTTTTTCCTTTTTGCTATTTGCTAATCAAAACCACAGACAATATTTCGTTACTGACCAATTGGGTGGTTTTTCCACCACGCAATAAAAAATATAGCAAAAAAAATGAATACCATAAATTTTTATTTTTTTTGTAAACATAGGCACCACTAACTATCAATGATGGTGTCCTGGTTCTCTCTGGGAAAAAATAATTCATATTTGAAATTCATTTATTTGTGACAATACTGTCAGTACAGAAATTGTCTTGACATAAAGTAAGTATACTTTTGCTGTCTTGCCAGACATTAGGGGTAACAAACATTAGGGAAATTAAATTGTAAGTTTAATTAAACAGGGTTCAAGTGATAATTATCATTGACAAGTATGTATGATTTACCATAACTAGTTGAGATAATTTTGAATAACATGACATGGTTGTGCAACTTCACAAGGACAATGTCACCCTATCTATCTAACAAAAAGACTTAAAATCCTAGTTATATTGTTGGTTAATTTTGAAGTCATTTGAAAAATACTATTTATTATGCCATTAATTTGACATGTAAGAAAATTATAAATTTATCTTTTCTAAACTGGTTTTGGTCTAGGTGTTCTGGGTAATGCATCAGTGAGCGTTCCATTGCTTTGTCATCTACTTATAGTACAGGGTATTCACTTGGTTGACTAGCATAAAAAGAATGATAAGTACATAATGATTTACTACAACTTGGGAGAGAGGAGATGGTAAATGACGATTCAGTTCTCTGAATGAACAGAATCATATTGCCATCTCTGTGTAATAAGAAGATTTAAAGCCACATAAATATCGTAGTTATTTTGTTGGTTATATTTGAAGGGCTATTACTTTGTCACATAAGATTTTTCAATTGCATATCTACTGCAAATGAAAAATCAAATACATAATTCTGTCCAATGTAATTGTTAAATTAATATATAGGCCACCTTGACTATGACTAACCCTGAAATTGTTATTCCAGCAGTTACAATGGGCCAATTGTGGTTGTAGTGATGACAGTGTATACAGGCACAGAATAAGCCACAATATTAATAATAATAGTGACATATTTTTTATTTGAGTGTTAAAATAGTTATTTGGAATAAATCAGCAAAGGGTGGCTCAAAGGCTTAGTCAACCTTTACAACAATTTCTTAAAAATACTTACAAATGACCAAACAGAGAATTGAGAATGAGGAATATCAAGTTAGGGATGGCAGTGGCTACATTCAGGTATGAGGTAAACTCCGCTTGAAATTGCGTCTTTTGTACTTCCAGTACAGTGAGGTTCTTCGGTGTTGTGTCACGGAACTTGTACATCCAATACTAAAATTAAAAAATACTTAATAATTTGTTACTGAATTCTTACATTCTACAGCTATTCCTTGCATTAACTACTACTAATTGTGAATAGTGAGAATAATCGGAGTGTTATCCAATTGGAATTTTAAAACAAGGAAGAATGTTGGGAAGAAAATGCTCATTTTTCTCCAAATTGACACATGAAACAGCTATCCAATGCAAAACAGCAAAAAAAATACTAGATCTTTCGGTGCCTCATTCCTCGGTCACCATAGAATATTAGCACAGAAATCTTTAGACAAGCCTGTATATCTGATGTTAATCCGTCGATTTCAGAAAACAAAAAAATAATTCAAAGTATGTATCGAAGATTAAACCTCGTACTTCAGAATTATTCATGAAAAAGGCTTAGAAGAATAAGCAAAAAATACTTACATCATTGGCGGTGATTAAGAAGTTCCATGGTACGAGGGAAGAAATGCCGAATAGATAAAAAAGAAAATACACAACGCGATATCGGTCCGTGGGTTCCTCTTGCGGATCCAGTACTTTTGTGGCACAGGAATCGGTGACCAATTCACGTTCTTCAGAGTCGTCAATGACTTCTTCCTCATTCTCGACAACATCACAGCCTTCGACATTAATTGAACCTCTCGTCTCTGTATCCATCTTCTAATCTGTTCTGATCAAATCAATAACAAAAAAACCACGACTTTGCGATCACGTTTTCAAGGTCGATTCTTTGTCGCCATCTAAAATAATTTTATGAAACCGCACTGCATTTCCTTTTGTATTATTAAAGCGAAAACACTTTGTTTTTGAATATTTTTTAGCTATTGTTAACAATTTTTGTAGCTATCAACCACACACACAAACGTTCCGTTCAGAACAGCTGCGGGAATGATTCATTCATTTCATTTTATTCATTCACGAATGTCATCGACAGACGTTAGCTCAAGGAAAAAAAGAGAATTAAAAATAGAGATAGCTGGGTTACTGTATGTAATTCATTGAAAGTTGAAAGTGATCTAATGCAGAAATGCAAAACAGAAGATTTGCTTTTTTATTTGATATAATTTATAAATAAAAGATTTTGCGCATTATAATAAACATGGAACAAAAAAAACAATGAAAATGTCTTAAGACTCGATCACATTCTTATTTTTACTGATGGCCTATTAATATAAATTTTTATTCACATACATTTTAACAAGAACAGCGTGACTTGATTGTTGAACGTTCACTAAATTGCAACTTACGTTTTGATTTTTTAGTGAAATTTTAATTAATGTGCTGCCTCTAGCGGATAATTGCCGAACGATGACGAATTCGAGATGTTTACTTAGTTCTCCAAAAAAGAGGCGACCATACTGCAGCTATATAAGGTTTATTTTCGGTTCTCGTAAACGAAATTTAAATAACGAAAGCATTGACTTACAAATAAATGGACGACGGGTCTAATACAAAAACCACGAAAAAAATGTCCCAAGTCAACCTATTCGAAATTTAAATTGTAATGTCATCGCAGTATCGCGCTGTCAGTCGAACAAATGAAGACTAAAGCGGAGTTTGGCGCTCTGTATACGATTTTAGCGCCTTACAAGTGCGGACACTTTTTAGCGCGGACCCGACGTCCATATAATTGTAAGTCAATGAACGAAAGTTAAATAAACTAGGACTTAACGATGATATTAAACACCACCATAGATAATATTACAAGTGCGACTACCATTTTGTTATAATCAACGGTCGTAATCGGGTGTTAAAAAAAATAGATAAATGTCTACTTATTGTATATACAAATAGTGAAATGGAGTGGTTAAAACCATTTCCATTTTCATTTATATGACAATGAATTCCTTAATGTTTAGGTTTCGCTCAAAAACAAAGTAGGACGCATAGGTACGTATATCTATATCTTCCTTCAGACTGTACACGATACTTTAGTACCTACTAAAAACTTTTCTCGAATCATATCGTCGACAATTTTGCATGTCTCTTTTTATTTGTACATGTTTAGAAGTATTCATTATTTTTTCTAAAATAGGCAATTTTAGGTTTTCGCGCCATCCTTGCTCTTTTTTCAAACTACACGGCAATGACAGCTCTTGACCGATGCTGTTTATCCACTGAGTCATTACTGCAAAAACAACAGAGTAAATAGTTTTTTTTAATTTTTTTTTAAATAATTATTAATTAAAGATAAGTGAGGCAAAAACGTCCTCATTCAATAAATTGATTTTTAAGAAATGGGCCTTTATTTTTCAGTTGACCGTTTATGTAATTTTTTCGCTTAGGTATTAAAAAAGAAAACAAAATACTAACTCATCTTAGACCCGCGAATCACTGGACAAGAAGCGTGAACCGTATCTAGGTCTCCTTCACCTGAAGCATACAAATTCTTCCAGAATAAGGCTGCTCCCTTAACTGGGTACACATTTAGACCAAGATGTGGAAACACTGTTGCACCTCCTTGACCGGGACTGGATAACTGTTAATATATTAAAATAACCTTAAGATTACAATAGACAATGAATGAATGAAACACGTACACTCAACATAGCCCCGCGCTAGAGAAAACCCTGTGTCGCGGATGCCATGGACACACACTTGTACAACCACAAATTACACACAGATTCACGAGAGAAATAAATGAAGGCCATACAAATATTTCTCCCGGCCCGGGAATCGAACCTGGGACCTCTGCGTGGCAGTCCGGAATGGTAACCGTTCGGCCACGGAGGCAATGGTGGGTAATAAACAGGACAGACATTGCAGAAGTTATTCCCATAAATTACGTTACTTAGTGCGTCTTTAATCAAATTAGAAATTACCTTCTCCACGACACTGACGTAATCTTTAATCAAATTAGAAATTACCTTCTCCACGACACTTACGTAAAAAAGTACAGTTGCTAACCGATTTCCTTGAATTTCGTATCCTAACTCCGAGGTTGTTTTCTGCAATTAATAAGAGTTAAAATACTTTTGTTTTTTTAAAGTCGCAAAAAAGTCTATTCTATAGGTAGTTTTTTTTTATAATACTGAGTGACGGGACGAACAAGTCGTGCGCCTGATGGTAAGCAACACTCCTATCCATAACAGTTGCAGTGCCACTCAGAGCTTTTAATCGCAAAGATCTTAGAGCGCCCGTCGCCCTGAGACATAAGTTAGCAAGTCCCACGTGCCTGTAATGTCACCAGCACCCTTACCATTCCAAATCGGAACGCAGTAATGCTCACATTACACACAGAAATAAGTAAGGTGGCGTACTTCCTTGGACGAAATGTCTCACAAGGAGCTCTACGGCTCCTAAAATAGTAAATCTTAATACTCGATTTCAATACATCTAAGTATGCAACGTCATACCTATTTCGTGCCCTTTGATATAATTAAGCCAAATGTGATCAAACGTCACGTCAAAAGTGCTTTTGATCACAGTTCATAAAAGCTTAAATACAGGATAGTAAAACTAGGACTTTTAAATTATATGAATAAAATTGGGTCCCAGCAGCGTTCCCCCATTGTATGTCTATGCTAATGCGTTGAGCAAGGTAGCTACCGGTCCTTGCGTTTCCCAGACAGTCTATTAATTTTTTAGATAAAATTGTATTATAATTGTACAGATAAAGGGCACTGGGACCCCACGGGTCAAGGGTTTTGACTCCAAAGGCTGTAAATAGGCAGTCGGAGCCGAGATCCTGGTAGGGGAGACCGGGGCTGGTAGTACCCGGGGTAAGTTGTTCTTACAGCAATAACTTTGCAAGGAAAGTATGCAGCAATACATGTGAAACGCGTCGTTAAAGCGTCAGGTGATGTGTCTTGTCGGCAGCCATTTCAGTTACTACGGCGACGAACGCCGACGTGTGGCTATGCGCGTGGAGCTGTCAAAATATCACGTAAGTAAATTTATTAAATTTATTTGGTCTTTCTTTGTTTATTATGGGCCGATTCATACGTAACTTTTCTAAATTGTAGTGACATTAGTAAGGAATCTTATTGTTTGAGTATTTTTTCATTGATTCTATTACTTTGCCGGTATGTCAGTCTTCATATAAAAACATAATTTGGAGCTATAAGTTCCTCCCTCGAGGGCCTGGTTGTTCCTAGGAACAACTTCCCCCAATGACCTGCAATCATACTCAAAATTTTTATGACCATTTTTCTTTGTTTTAAGGATGCCAAACTACAAACGGGCTAATGCCAAATATTTAGACAAGATGATAGAATCACTTATGTGTGTCTCAACTGTGATTCAGATGAAGAAATGAGCGATGAATAATATTACTGATGAATAAGAATGTATTTGTTTTTTTTTAAAGTTAGTTGTGCATAATATAAACATTACATACATACAATTATAAAATAGGTGGTTTTATTTAAGAAAATCTTTGTTATTCTGTCATACTGTAGGCGGAACAATTTGCCTCAAAAGCGGAACAACGCGCCCCAAAGCGGGGCTGAATGTTCCGCTCCGAAATTTGTCAAAAATTTGAAAAAGACTATTGAGATGTTAGTAGAAGTGACTATACTGTTACAAAAAGCGATAAAAATTTGTTCAACATTTCCACATGTTGAAAATCAAATCCTTCATTTTCAGTATAAAACTGCAAGTTATTTGAAAACCGGAATGTTCAGCCCCGCTCTCCCCTACTTATTACTTTTTATTCTTTCCGCCAGCTCAGTTGCAGCGCCAGCCCTCTTGATCACATGTATGTCGTAAAAATAATACTCCTCTCTCCTATTTAAGTGCGCATTTGACCTTCATCTCACTTGATGGAAAGTGACGATGAAGTCGACGATGTAGCATGCACACTTAAATAATGCCTATTTACTCTGGCCCAAGTTATAGCAGCATTCGGGGAACAAATCTGCAGGCAGCAAATTCGTGCCAATCTTTGGAATATCTACAACATAATGATGGAACGGGGGAAGGCGGAATTAAATCATGCCCTTCCATGGCACACTCTCCGTTATATATCCTGGAGAATACTTATAAGCAGACAACTTTACGACGTCTAAGTTACCGACTAATTTAATTTGTACAATCTTTAAACCTCTATATTATAATTGTAACTTTTTATTAAAAACAAAACCATAAAGTGTGCGAAACAGGATTCACCCCCATGTTTGCTACTCTTAGAGGTATAATATTTTCTTCAAATTCAAATGTAACCACTATTGGGGTACCCTCTTTCCAACAAGAAAAAAATCATCAAAATCGGTTCACAAATTATCGCCGTTAGTTATCGCGTAACTTACATACAAAAAAAAAATGCAATCGAATTGCAAACCACCTCCCTTTTTTTGAAGTCGTTTAAAAGTTTTGTTTAATTTTAAACTGAATATTAAATGGATGTGGACTTATATAAATAAGGACCGGTATATATGTATATAAGGAAGGATTTTACATATATATATAAGGACCTTATAATAATTTAAGATGTAAACTTACACGCCAAAAATCTGTGTGAGGAGCGTAATATCCTCCTACCGAGTATTTGACAACGTGTAACTCCTCTGAATAGTTTACAGTCATTCCGGTGAAATCATGCACACGACGATACAGTTTTATCAAAGTTTTAGATCCAATATCATCTTCTAAAAACGTGGAATCACAGAGTCGCAACCGATATTCTGCACTTTTTCTCTTTTTGAACAAAGCGCATGGCTTAAACTGCAAACACGTTTAAATGTTATGTACACATCGTCCTTAGTCCAGCTTACAAGTTGTTTCATCAATATACTTACTCGTGTTTTGGATACCGAATTAATGTCCTCTATTTCGCGGTCACTGATTACATTGTGGAACAGGTACACATCGGGCCCCAAATAAAGTTCCTCTAACTTCACTGGTGCTAGTTTTAAGAAAGGATGGTTTTCTGATAGGTACTTGCACTTTAGTCTGAAAATCAACAAGTTAGCTGTAGTAGGTGGTGCTTAAAATACTGTTTACTTAATATATTCTTGAAACCTTTTAGCAACTTCTTTTACGATTCTCGTTTCACCGCGACATGCCTTTCGATACAGGACTTCTGTTGTCTCTAGGCATTTATTAATTATTTCTTTAATTTTCATGACGTTCTGAACTGAGTTCTGGAAAAGGCACGTTTATTTGTTATATGTTTTATACGGCATAATACGACCCATAAAAATATTATAGTTTCTTACAGTTTTGTGTGAATATTTTTTTTTTGTCTTTAAAATTTCATGATATTTTTTCAATAAGCTAGACAATTTTTCGTACTGAGGATGTTCCGGCACCGCATGTAGGAGTTGTTGAAGCCAAAATGACGCTTCTTTTATATTATCTGGAAAAAAAAATCGATATTTATAACCTATATTCGGTAATCTTTATCACAATCGACGTAAAATCAATAATTACTTAGCATTTTGTAGGCATAGACAAGATTATTTAAGATATTAGCTCCTAATTCATCTGCCCCATCCGTTTTGTTAAATCTTCTGAAAGCCTCCAGTAACCATACAACTGCTATATGATACTTTTCTTCTTCGGCGAAAGTTACACCTATCGCAAAACAATCATGTTCGTTCAGAGGGGTCCTAAAACATAATTTGAATAGTCCTGTATAATCGAAATGTTGCTACAGTCGGATTATACGTTCAAGGTACGGTTCCTGTACTTACGTATATTGAATGTATTTTTCATTATCAGGGCTGAAAACAAAACTTAGACGATAAATACTTCTTGTTTCATTAAACATTTTTATAACCCAAAATCAGTAACTCACTTGAAGCTAACATTCAACACCCCGTCCGCCAGTTTTGTCAAGTTTAATTTATAAGTATTCTGTATTGTTGCAAGAACGAACGCAGCTTTGTTAAGGTTTTCTTGTGTGGGGTAGCTCAGTGACATATTCATGGATACATATTCACGTTCTGAATTAAAATTATTAGCGCTACATTAATAATAAATAATAAAGTAAATAGATTTTTTACACTCCCGGACAGATAATTCGAGTCACCTTACATGTCAGATTTACTGCGTTCCGATTTTGAAGGGTAAGGATGCTGGTGAAATTACAGGCAAATGGAAGTCCCATTTGCCTGTAATCTGACAAATGGGACTTCCATTTGCCTGTACTTGGGAAATGGGAATGACAAATATTTAAACATTGCTATTCTATTATGAATTCAAATTTTCAACAAGGTCTTATGAAAATGTAGTTTAGTATACCAGTTTCAAAATTATCCTCTATCAATCAAACATTGTTTAAGGTTAGAGCATTTAATACTGAAAATGTAATAGTAACTCGAATTAAATCCTGGAGGGTATTGAGAACCTCTAAGGCTCTTAACAATGCGACCCGTCCATCACTTCGTGCACTCGTCTGCTCACGGACAGTCCGCGTTGCACTGTTAAGACCCATATTCTACCTGTTTGTTCATTAGTTGCATATTCTAAGGCATGCACATCTGATGTTAGCCCTTTTATTAATTTGAAAATGCTGGTAGGGTCATCTAAATTGCCTCTTGTTATACTCTCATGTTCTGTTATAAAACGTTCAGAAATTCTGGAAATTATACATAAACTTATATCGTTATAGTTCTGTGTGTTTGTATTTAATTGGTATTGTGCAATTTAAATTTACTATTATTGTTATTATTATTCAATTTGATTATTTTCATATCAATAAATGTTGTATGTATCAAATTTAATTTAGTTTATTTAGTCTATTTAGTTTATTTAGTCTGACTGTGTTAGTATGTGTTTTTTTTTAATTGTGGTCATGTGGTGTTCTATTTTATGACAGGCCATGGCAGAATATCAGCGAGGTCTATGTAATTAGCATAGTCCTCAAATGCTGGGTCATGGACCTTTATGACATGCTTTTTTTGCTTATTTGTTTTAACGTTTTTTCTATTATTATTATTATTATTTTCCAAAGTTTTTTGTATTTATGAACGAATTATTTAATATTTGCTAATTTTTTATATTTTATAATGTATTTTGCATGTCAAATAAATACGATTTTATTTTATTTCTGTAAGTAAGTAAATAATTACGATATAAGTTAATAAACTTACAACTTGACTCCTTTTAATCTTATGGTTTCTTTCTTGATATATAACTCCAAAGTATCGATAGCAGTCTTGTAAACTTTCGCATATGACTGTAATTCAGTTTCGAAAGTAAAAACTACATTATATTCGAGTCGTGATAACGTTAAGATACAAAATATGTGTATCTTTAAATCCATGCTACCGCAGACTGAATAATTGTCTATGGAGGCATGGCCAATCGTGACGTGGTCCTGTAAATGCTAAGAATTTTCTTTTCACAAATGTTTTTTTACGCCGATCATAAGACAATGGAGTTGATGTTTTGTGAATTACTACTTAGTGGTGAAATTATTGGAACAGGAATGTGCGTACATAGCAGGTACGGGTACCTGGTACCTATCAGTAGTCCGAAATGACATTTTCCAGAAATAACGTTTGCTCGAATTTCCATTACCTCGAAAGTAATTTTGAGAGGAAAATGTTTTTTCTTTTAAACCTAACTTCTTTCTAACCTAACCGAACCTAATCGTGTCTTTGCGATAAACATCCAATATATCCTGAAAGCACAACGGTTACGTTATAATTCGAGTTTGCGATAGGTTACCAGACTACACTATCAACGTCCCATCGAAAAATTGCAATGACAGCTGAAAAGTAGATCGATGCCTAACCAGTGAAAAGCAACGACAGTTAACTTTTAGCAAAATACCACATGTACAAAATCCTGCTATTGACTCTGTATCGATATACAACTGAGATGATGACTCAGGTGCACGGTCTTTTTTTATGATAAGTACTAAGTAACGGGACGAACAAATCGTGCGCCTGCTGGTAAGCGACACGCCTGTCCACAGCAGTTGCAGTGCCGCTTTAAATCGCAATTATTTAAGTAGACTGTAGTTGGTGTAATGAAAATTCGAACAAACGTTATTTCGAAAAAAAAAATTGTTTTTGTGATTTGGTTACCAGTAGGAACGCATTTTTTGCCTAAAGTATTTGTTATAACACACCTTGGAAAAAACAACAATTGGAAAGCGAATGAGGCATGAATGATCCAAAACCAACTGTATCTAGTAGAATGAAGTCTTATCCATAGCTATATTCATTGCGGCTCCTATTTAATTGTTCTATTACGTGAGTGAATCAGCATGAAATGACTAACTTTAGGAAATTTTATAAATCGGGTTTGTGTGTTCGCCAATATAGAGAAAGGAACATAAATATAATCAAACTATTGTTAAGAATATCAAGAACTTACCTATTTTCATAAATTTTGTTTATTTATTTGCAAACATTACAGCTTTCTAAATTCGATTTACATTCTTAAATTATATTTATTAAATTCAATTAATTAATTCATTCGTTATTATAGGTACATGGTATACGTTGATTTTGCTTAACAATAAAATTGAAACTAAATAAGATATTAAAAAACCAATCAGAGGGGGTTGTAGATCTCATTTCGTGTTGTGTCGATTACGTTAGTTATAGTAACGAGGACAAAAGAACGGGTGGATGAACATATACAGGGTTTGTTTTTGACTTATAAAAACTAATTGAAAACAAAACTAAAGTGGTCCGGGTCCTTTGTGTCATTCGCTTAAAAAATTGTTAACGTTGAAGAATCTAGAGGAAATAGTGGCACTTGACTAGTTTCCGTTACCCGTATACATGTCCAGGATTCTGAAATAATATAATTTAATTTAATGTTCATATCACTATCACGGAAAGGCTTACTTTCTCATTACAAATCTGCGCGCAAAGGCTTTTTTTCCACGGTAGCGTGGAAAAGGTTTTTGAAATTCGAACTTGATGGACTTTGGAGTACCTAAATTTTTATTTCGTTAAAATAAAACATAATGATACGTTCAACTTCGCGATGTGTCGGACATACATTATTTATGTAGATAATATTATTCCGTTGGTATAATTTATTCTTATTATTATTGACATTAAATTGACAACGATGACACTAATTTTGTTTTATTACATTATTTTAATTTGTCGAAGAACTAAAAATTCGTATTTAAATAGTCGTAACCCATAAAAGCAATATTTCGAGAAACAGACATTTAAAGTTTTAATCTAGGTTTATGCGTTTCATACAAATATTACAGTTATGGATGTTTGGAATTTTGTTGTATAAGTGTCTGTAGTATATTTCGCAATAATTAACATCAATTAGAAAGCCGTATTTGTGGAGAAAAACGAGAAAATCAGTTACGACCCTTTGTTACCCGTGCAAAGGTCGTAACTTAAGAATACGACTGTATGCGTGGTTTAAACTTGAATTGTAATTTTAAACAAGGTGCCGTATGTAAACATACTTCTTTTTGTGACGTTACATTTGACTCATATTACGGGGTCGTATTATTGAATTATTTATTATGAAACCAAAAATAATCTTTATGAGAATAAAAATAAGTTTCGAAATGAAAAGCATTTGTTGTTTAACTGAAAAAGAAACACAATCACTGTTATTAGTTATAATTTAAATCTAAATTGTAAATATGAGATCACGTTGATTATTATTAATTAAAAGTTAAGTCCGGTAGCAGAAACAACCTTTTGGTTTTTTTGGCACTAGTACTAAAATAAGAAAATTTTAAATGTTAGTACTGATTCTCAAAAACAGGTCGTTTTTGCTATTGGAATTAGTAGCAGTAGAGCTTCTTGTGAAACAGTTCGTCCAAGGAAGTACAGCTACCTTACCTATTTCTGCCGCCAAGCAGTAATGTTAGCATTACTGCGATCCGGTTTTGAAGGGTAAGGGTGCTGATAAAATTACAGGCACATGGAACTTTTGAACTTATGTGTCAGGGTGATGGGCGCTGCAGTGCCTTACCATCAGGCGCACGACTTGTTCCTTCCACACTTAGTACCATAAAGAAACTTACAATTAATAAGAATTAATATAATCTAATGTTTGATTTACACTCAAATTATAACTTCGATGTATGATTGTATTTCTTACCCAAAAGGTTTGGTAGTTACGCTTTGATTTTTTGTTTTTAAAATTGCAATGACGGATTAGTAAAACGAAAACGTTATAAATGTTAGTAGGTATAAGTTTAAAAAAAAAGTTTTTTTGCTATTGGATTGAACTTATATTTATAATAATTAATGTGATTTTATTAAACCAAACTAATACTAATTTTGTTATCGTACTAGTCATTGCAATTTTTTTAAATAATAAAATTAAGTGTACCTTTCAGATATTTTTAGTAAGAAACACAATCTCTGTTCTGAGTTATAATTTAAATCTAAATCACAAACATGAGATCACATTAATTATTATATATTAAAAGTTAAATCCAGTAGAAAAATACCCTTTTCATTTTTTTTAACTTATACTAACATTTATAATGTTGCTTACCAATCAGTCATTGCCATTTTTAAAATAAAAAATTATGAAATGTACCTATCAAATCATTTTGGTAAGAAACAGAATCACTGATCTAAGTTATAATTTAAGTCTAAATTACAAAGTTTATAGTTGTATTTTGCCGAGAACTAATGTCATTGTGCTTTGGGTTTCCAAGTCGTAGCGGTAGTAAATGACTTTTTCTGAAGATGAGTAACGGCAACTTCTTTCACCAGGGTCCATGTCCGTTTAGGGCTACTACAACGAACTTGTGGAACATCTTTAACTACTAATGTGTCTTTGATGTTTTCAGACTCTAAGTTGAATTTAGACAACTTAATTTTGTACATAACGAGTGAAGTTATATTCAATTTTGCCAAATTAGAATCCAAATCTATCTTAGTTGCAAAAGAATAATTGATAATTAATATACATTTGCACATTCCTACGTTTCTACAACACCAAGGGGAAGTGGTGACTCTATAAATAAAGATTAAAAACGTAAATATCTAAGATATTTATGTAAAAGCTTTTTACTGATGAGAAACTTTGATTTTTTGTATTAAAACATTCACATTATTTAGTATTTATTAAAGTAATAAATACACAAAGGTCGTAAAAAAGCACAGCCGTACATAAAGTCGTATCCTTGATAAACGATTGTTTACAAATGAAAATTTAATTTATTGAACGTAGATAATAGTCGTAACAACAAGTTACGACGTTCATTCAACAATTTAAGCAACCAAAAAATATGTTAAATATCGTATGTTGTTGGGTTACGACTGTATGCAGCGGATTATGAAAAAAATGTGAATAATATAGAAACTATAGTATAATCATTATTTGGACCAATAAATATTTGAAAATCTAAAATTAGAACAGTGTGAATTTTGGTCACTTGAGAGATGTGTTTGTCATGAAAATAGATTGTAATTTAAATACTTACCGGCGGCACTTCGAAGGTTATGTCTTTCCAATTCATAACTATTATTATGTTTTAAGCCTACATTTGAAATGTGAACTGTCACTAATCATTATTGTAATTAACTACTAGTACTTTAAACCACTAAATTGTTTGAAAATATTATTTCTAATAAAGAATACGCGCTACAAATTTTCAGTCGGCGAATCGTCGTAACGTTAGAGTTGGGACACGTGATTGGTGGAGCGATCGCAGAGTGCTTCGTCGCATAACATCGTATTTCTAATTATGACTGTAAGCGCGGGAACGGTTTGAACATACGACGATGTGCCATTTAAAAACTCGAAAACGGCTAACTTTTTTCAATTTTTGTTTTACTGAGTAATTTTTAACGTGTCATTAAGTGCGATACGCAAAAAAAATGAAAAAATTTTTCATAATAAATGACTTACCACTGTATGCGTGAGACGCGTCGAAATAATTTCGTTAATCACGTAAAATTATAAGTACAACAGTCAAGAGCACATCAAGCTCGACACTTTGGACTTTGGACCGTTCTTATTGCAAGCGGCATAGAGTTAAATTTAAGCATTGAGTGTCAAGCTTGACGTGCTCTTGACTCTGGTACAAAGAAGACGAAGACGTAGGTGGTGTAAATTTAGAACTCACCCAAAACTAAATTCAAAGTTTCTTATAATTCACGTCAGTATTTTGGATTGTACTGTTATAAATTGAAAAGAAACAAAACATGAGCGAGTCTGAGTCTAGCGGTGATGAAAAACTGATTTGTTATAGTTCAACTGTTTTTCTTTCATCTACCATTATCGCTATTGTGAAGTGTAAGCTTGTGTTTCATTCGGCAGCAAAGTTGTTTTGCGTTATGCTAGTTATATGTTATCTTAGAAGCCTTCGCTTGTTCAGATTTCAAAACAAGCAACGCGCGTCAAACAACAACTTTGCAGCCTTGCATAACAAATAAGTACCTATTTCTTAATATGTATCTATATGCTGGGCCCCACTTAAAGCTAAACGGACTGTCATAGTTCTTTTTGTGAAAAATTGTGAAAAAAGTAATGGTAGTTTTTTTTATTAGAACTGGTATCGGAAAATGCTATTATTTGCATGATATCGCACGTTTGGTTAATAAGGCCACATCCGCAAAATGACAATTTTTCAGGAGAGAAGTTAATAGTTCTACGAACGAAAGTGGTCAATAACTTTTTTTTTTGCTTAAGTAGGAGAGTTGGAACTGCGGCGACGAAATTTTGCGCTCTGTAGTGAATCGTTTCAAGCGCGCGCAAACATCGCGTTGCAAGTAAGAAGCTTCTATACTCCACTGGAGATTACACTTAGAATATCATGTAGTTGCTTTATTTCAAAAATTAATTGAAATTAACAAACTAAACTAAAATTAAAACTATCTCTTATCAAAATGCTCAATAAATACGGGCGACTGCAGCGCGTCTTCGGCTCAACTCAAACTGGCGCAGAGTCGAAACGTCGCGACGCGTCATGTTTTTCGCCTGTAGCATATTCATTTCTATTTTCCCATTATTAACGTAAAAATTTGTGTTACGTAAACATGGAATCGCGCGAAGGCGCGCGTCTTCGCGCGTCGATGCTTGGTTAAAGTCGAGCGGTTTCTTCACGGCGTGTTTACACTAAGTCGATAGGTCGCTTTGTAAGAAATTGAATAATGATACATTTGTTTGTCATCCCAACAGAATTTCAGTCGAACGTTAACTACGAGACGGATAGACACGACTCATAACTCAAAAAATGTCAACACTTGTCTGGTCTCATCCTAAATGAGGAGTAAGTTGGAACAGAGTAATAGGAAACGAGAATATTCAAAATTTAGTAAGTTAGGGTACCTTATACGATACTTTAGTAGGTACCTATAATAAAATGATAAACCATGTCGTCGGCAAGTTTGCATGTCTTTTTTTATATCTTCGTGACAAGGAGTGTTCATTATTTTGCTTAGAATTGGTAGTTGAAGGTTTTCCCGCCATATATCATCTTTTTTGAGTTTGCATGGCATTAGAAGCTCTTGGCCGATGTTGTATATCCAATGCGTCATAACTGCAAAAGGTATTTTGACTTTGGTAAATCTCTAACTGAAATTTCTGTAATACTAAGTTTTAAAATTTATAGAATTTTCACACTAGACTTTTGGGAACCGTTCTAGAATTATGCGCGACTAAATTAGTCAGTCTAATAGATTTACAGGAAATTTATTCCAACCACCAGTAAACTAGTAAACCTTTAATTTGACGTAAATAACATCAAATTGAAGTGCATTTAAATATACCTACGTAACCCGTGTTGCGTAGCGTTAAATTAGAAAAGAAATATGAATATATTGTAAACATAAAAACAACATAAAAATCAACATTGAAAGTTAAATACAAAAAAATACTTACTCATCTTAGATCCATGAATGACTGGACAAGAACCATGAATAGTATCCAGGTCTCCCGTACCCGAAGGAAACAAGTTCCGCCAGAACAACGCTGCACCCTTCACTGGGTACACATTCAGACCAAGATGTGGAAAAACTGTTGCACCTCCTTGACCAGGTGTGGATAACTGTTGATTATAAAATAGGTCCAAACGAAACAGGTCCATGGTATGGACAAAAGTTAAGTCAGTCCACCAGAATTCACTTTATCACATAGCCTTTTCAATTCAGTTAGACCTCCACACTTACGTAAAATAGTAGGGTAGCCATTCTATTTCCTATGAGTTGGTGTCCTAATTTGGGTTCTGTGTTCTGCAAATAATGTAAAAATACTTCGGTACTATAATATTATAGTAGTATATTTTAATTTAATGAATTATATGCAACGTGTTATTTTAATCAAATTAATTTATCCTTTCTCAGGACTCTACATTAGATATCAAGATATTTAATAATAGCTCCATATTTTAAAAAGCTCTTTAGAATAATAAAAACGCTAGGGTACGTGAAATAACTTCATCTCAGACATCCGAGTACCAATTTTTCAGATATCGAAACATTATGTTTAAAATAATTTACTAACATAGTTTATAAGTCTGTTACTAATTTAAATATGGATTTACGTTGTCCGAAAATAAATAAATTATATAGGTATATTGTGGTTTTCTTGTAATTACAATATATCCATAGCATCGGTGCGTACTTTGACAATGTTATTATTAATTATTATAACCTTTCTCTGAGTTACATCGATTCCGAACTATTATCCGAGTTGCATAGTTCAGTTAAAATTGTTACACGGTTATTAAAAATAACTCACTTGCCAAAAATCGATGTGGTGGCCATAATAACCTCCTACCCAATATTTAACCACGTGCAAAGCTTCTGAATAATCCGTGTTCATGCCGGTGATGTCAGCCACACGATTATATATTTTTATAAAAAGTGACATCTCTTCAGACGACAAGTTTTCGGGCTTTAAATGCGTTGCATTACACAGACGCATCCGATATACATTACTTTGTGTCATATTTACCAGCACATCACACTGTTGAAGCTATAAACGTTAAAAAATATAATACATTCCAAATGTAAAGTAAACATTAATGAAAATACTTGGCTGCTTACTCGTGGTTCGGATATGACTTTGATGTGCTCTATTTCGTGATCGCTGATTACATCGTGGAACATATATACATCGGGGTCCAAATAAAGTTCTTCTAACTTGACTGGCGCCAATTTTAAGTAAGGGTGATTTCCTGATAGGTATTTGCACTTGAGTCTGAATCAAATGAACGTCATTAAATTTGATAGGTGATTAAAATTTAAGTACTATACTGAGCTACCCCCTAGCTATATATGTTTCGGTACCTTTTGGCAACGTCATTTACGATTTTCGTTTCACCACGACAAGCTTTTCGGTAAAGATCTGCGGTTACCTTTAAGCATATTCCAATAATTTCTTCCATAGTAAAAGTTTCTTGATTTGTATTCTGGAAATGTATTTATTAGAATATTGTAGTGCTATTACGGACCATAATATTGTTGACTTGCTTACAATTTCGTTCGAGGAGTTCTTTTCTTCATTTAAAATTGTATTATATTCGTCTATTATTTTCATAAATTGATCTTGTAAAGGATGTCCAGGTGCCTCGAGTAAGAGTTTTTTGATCCAAAACGACGCTTCTTCTACATTATCTGAAACAGTTTCGTTAAATTCATGCCATTTAGTAGGTATTCTTAATTTCTTTAAATGAATATTAAATAATTACTTAGAGCGTCGTAGACGAAAGCAAGATGTTCAAGAATTTTAGTTTTTAACCCATCTGTCCGATTTGTTTTGCCATATCTTCTAAAAGCCTCCAAGAACCATGTGACCGCCTCTTTGTACTTTTCTTCTCTGCACAAATAGCGACCGATTTCAAAACAATCATGTTCGTTGAGATGAGAGCTAAAATATGGTTTGAGTATTATACACGATATATAGTAAAGAAATAGTTGCAATAAAACATTAACTTTCTGCGGAGTACTCACGAATTGTCGGTGTAGTTTTCGTTATCTGGACTAAAAATAAAACATGTTCGATTAATACTTATCTCTGGGTTAAATGAGAAATAATAAAAGTTACAAAAAAAAAACAAACAATATTGTAACGAACTAAGGTTAACCGTTATGTAAGCTGTGTTAAAATGCGTTACTGAAAAATAAACACAGAATATACCGACAACAGTTATTTTTGATACAAGTGCGGAAAGTTAGTGGCTTCTTTCTCGAGACAAGTAAAAATGACAAATCCGTACGTGTATCAAACAACGTTTTTTAATACGTTTGCGAAAAAAACTACATTGAAAGTAAAATAAAACAATATATTTTAATGGCGCGGCGCGCAGTGGTCTCGCGTAATACTCACCTCCGGTCATTGTTAATACTCAGTCAGCCATCTTTATGGAAAATATTTTGGTATTTTTAAATGTAACCCGTTGTTTTATAAACCACCTATGCAATTTAATCAAATATGATGTTTGTAAGAAAATATAAGTTTTAGCACATAAATATTAAATAAATATACAACCTCTTTAGTTCTGTGTTTAAGACTTGAAACAATGGTAAATAAAAAAAAATGGAAAAGTAAAAAGCACTAGTGCGAAAAATCCAACTTTCGGTACTATTTGTAGTACGAAAAATACCACGTTTTGAGCAATCTGTATTAAAAAAATAATATCATATTTATACGAAATAAAAACTGTGTTTCCGAATAATATATACTCGACTTCCGAAACTTAACGATGTATATCCTATTTTGTCACACATGATACCTCTAATATTTTATTTATTTTATTTAATATTTCCCTATGATTAAGTGATATGAGTTTAGCAAGGACCAAAGTTTATGTCATGTAGGTGGTACAAGGTCGCTTTTAAATTTATAATAGGTGATTTGCGGATTAAAAAAGGCTAACAATAGTTTTCGGTAAAATATAAATTATGTTAAGAGTGTAACATTACGTCAGCAAGATTTTTCAGATACGAATGTTTCCATTTTATTTTCATAAAAGTTGTCGGTAGCTTAGTATATTTACGTAGTAGTATTTATGTTTTGAATAAGCTCATTTTTATCTCCTTTTCGGAGCTTTTATTTCTTTTTTATTTATTTTAACCGACCAGACGAACAATTAGTGCTCCTGGTAGTAAGCGACACGTCTATCCATGACAGTAGCAGTGCTTAAATCGTAAATATCTGAAGGGCACTGCCACTGCGCCCATCACCTTGTAATATAAGTTAACAAGTCCCCATGTGCCAGTAATTTCATTAGTGCCTTTACCTTTCAGAACCGGAAAGCAGTAAATTAATGTTCACATTATTGTTTGACGGGAGAAATAGGTAAAGGTGGCGGTATTTCCCTGAACGAGCTCTTTTACAAGGAGCTCTACTAAAGCTAGCTTTTATTACCATTCGGATTCAATTGTTGAACTAAATATCGGTCACTCACGTGAAAGTAACATTGAACAGTCCATCCGCAAGCAGCGTCAAGTTTAAGTCATACGTATACTGAATTGTCGTGAGTATGAGAGCAGCTTTATTCAAGTGTTTACTGCTGCCGTATTTTATTGATGAACTCAGTTTGTCTTGCATAGCTGTAACAATAAGCGGGAAATGTACCGAAGTATTGTATCAACGTTTTAGGTAAACGATAATGCATGAACTTCTAATACCTGTTCGTTCTTCCGTTAATTTTTCTAAATTATATAAATCGGATGTTAGCATTTTTATTAATTTAAACATGCTAACTGGATCGTCCAAATTATCAATGATTAAACTTTCATGTTCTTTTGTTAAATGTTCCAAAATCCTAGAAAAATAATATTCAGTTTATAGTTATGCAATTATAATATTCCCTAACGGTAATGAGGTCAATACGTTAATATTATACCTATACATTGACCAAGTAATGAATGTCGGGTGCGCGCTTAAAAGTGTCCGAACCTAAAGAGAAGCAAATCGCAAAAAAGCAGTAGTCGCGCGTCAATCATTTACTCGACCGACATTGTGTATATCATGCCGTGCTGTTGGTTCGTTGGTTCATCAATCATTTATAGCACAGGAAACACAAAACACATTAAGTATAATAATCTGAGTACGGCGTAGTAAAAAAAGGGCCTCAACAGTCATTCATTCCCTAGTTAGCCACCCTTACAGGTGGAATATTCTCTTTAAAATTAAATGAGACCACTACTGAGGTACCCTCTTTCCAACAATCAAACAACAAAAAAAGAATCATCAAAATCGGTTCATAAATGAGTCATCGCATAACGTACATACAAAAAAAAATACAGTCGAATTGCGAACCTCCTCCTTTTTTGAAGTCGGTTAAAAAGGAAAATACACACAAAAGGTACCTCTTGCTTATTTCTAAAAGAATGTATCTATGTCAATTTATCTATGCCAAATAGGGGAGCGTGTATGACAGACCTACAAGCATGAAAAGCGAAATAATTGTAATATTTTATGTAGTGTTAAAAGTCAGGGTAAAAGCGGTTTTTGTTCTCCGCCGAAAATTGAACAGCAACCTAAAATTTATTTTTCAGCAGCAGTGATATCTAAATAGTGTGTTATCTATAACATCTATAGAATTTTCAGATTTGGATGATTGACTAATTAAATAAGTGTTTATATTTGAATGTGAACATAACTATTTAATTAGTAGAATGTGATCAAAGTTTGGTAAGGAACAACTTCCAATCACCAGTGGCATTTTTTTAAACAATACCATGTGACGGGACGAACAAGTCGTGGTGGTAAGCGACACGCCTATCCATAACAATTGCAGTGCCACTCAGAGCTTTAAATCGCAAAGATCTTGGGGTCACTGCCACTGCGTCCATTACCCGAGACCTGAGTTAGCAAGTCCTATGTGCCTGTAATTTCACCAGCACCCTTGCCCTTACAAATCGGAACGCAATAATGAAGTGGCAGGTGACAGTGAGCTTTATTGCTACTTGATATGTATTACTCGTAAATCGACAGTTATGAATTTAATATTTAAGTAAAATCCGTATACGTTTTTACAATAAGATTCCGGAGCATATATTAAGATTACCATTTCCGAAGTTTAAAACTTACATTAAAAATATTTTAATTGAAAAGCCATATTACAAAATTGTAGACCACGTGTATCGAGTTACGTGTTAGATAAAGATGTATGGAAAGACAACGTGAGTCTAGATTCATCACAACTGTGATTCAAAATGTATTCTATAGCATCTAAGTTTATGTGAAAAGAGCAATCCCTAGAGTTTCTTGCTAGTTCTTCTCAGGGAGGTCAGCGTAGTGAACGAGCAGTTGGTTAAAAATGACGTTTTGAAGTGCAAAAATGTTACCTGTAGATCATTGACTTACAAAGTAGATTAAATGATTATATGACTTTCACTTTGCTATTTATTTAAGTAGAATGTGGCAAGTTCGTTTCAAAGTCAGAACTTTGAAACGAACTTGTAACAGCAGTAGGTATGCAAGTATTTTTATTATTATTTAAAACATGAACCTAAAACATTTACTTACAATTCGATTCCGTGTAATCTAGTGGTTTCTTTCGTGACATAGTGCGCTAAAATATCTATAACGGTTTGATAGACTGTCACATAGTGCTGTAATTCGGTTTCTAAAGCAGAAACAGTTTTATGATGTAAATGTGATAATGTAACGAAACAAAATAAGTGTATTCCTACGTCCATGTTACCACTGACTGAAAAATCATGTTTATAGAGGTGGATAGGCAAAATTTTGTGTTGATTCACACGGTTGAGAAAAATGCAAAGAATTTCCTTTTTAGATTTGTTTACTTTGGCCAATTTTAGCACAATGGAGTGTAAGGTATAAGGATGCTTCAATTTCATTGTTTAATTTGCTGTTAATCATTTGATTAACAGCTTTTATTTGTCTACTATGCTAGTTTCAAGAAAATTCTTGAAACTAGCATAGTAGACAAATAAAAGTGTAGAAGCACATTTTTATCTTGAATGAATGAAATATTCTTTATTGCGTATTAAAAATTACAATAACAAAACAGAACAGTAATGTAAGTGTCACAGAGTAAGATAATGTACAACAGGCGGCCTTATTGTAGTAGCAGCAATTTCTTTCAGGCAACCTTATCTTTATGTCTTTCTTAAAATAGCAGTAATAAGAAAGCCGTAATTACAGCAGTAAAAAGCAGGAATTACAACTTTACCGGAGAAATGATCACAGATTCTGCCGCGAAGCAGTATGTGAGCATTACTGGTGAAATCACTGGCACATGGAACTTATCAACTTATGACTCAGGGTGACGGGCGCAGGTAGATCTATGCGATTTAAAGCTCTGAGTGGCACTGCAACTGTTACTGACAGGCTTGTCGCTTACCACCAGGCGCACGACTGGTTCCTTCCACTACTTAATATTACAAAAGAAATCTACGACGAAATTTGTTGATAATTTTTCTATGCTTATATAGGAGAGTTATAAAATTTTACTCTTAGGGTCGTATTCCAGAACTCTACTCATTGCTCAAGTCATGACATGAGTATGATTTAAAGCACGAGAAATCATACTCAAGTCCTTGCCATTAGGGTCGTATTTCCAGTGCTTGAAATCATACTCAAGTCTGCTCAAATTCTGACTTGAGCATTGAGTAGAGTTCTAGAATACGACTCTTAGATACGTAATTTGTTTCATGTAGTTCGTGTTATGTTGATGATTTTCATGCCAAAAAAGTATATCACATGTGGCTTTATTATACCATGGGTATGAAATGACAAATGTGTGACTACCGCGCGATGATATACATACGAATGTTGACGTAACATGTATTCTAAATTAAAGTCGACTACGAAAGTCAGAGGTGTTTATGAACAAGTCATATATCGCAAGTACAAAATAATACCGTCACTAAACAAAAATCTCGCTTTTTTCAATTTAAACTTATGTTCATAAGCTCGCAAGCCATGTCCCGAAAGTTGATTTTTTCGTTTAGTGGCAGTAGTTATTTAAACGTGCGATATGTATAAACTACAACTTTTACCGAGTAACCGAGTACCGAATATTACTCAGTTTAACATTTGACGAGCCGAGTACTTGGACGAGTTACTCGGTTCATTACAACCGGAACACGATTATCCTAAAAGTCTCATTGCTCTAGAATTAGACCGATATGGCAATAAAAGTTTATTGTCTGCGCGAGCAGAGTCCTTTCCAATGGTGGGCTGGGTATAAAACAAGATATCCATAACTGGTACTCATTCATCATTCATCGTCAATCGCCCACTATTCGTTCAATTACTAAGTACAGGTTCATTTGCATTGTCAATTTTTGTAAGTTCATACACATAATACAAACTGTATTTAGAACTATGTCTACGAAAAGTACAAAGAGTATTTTACCAGTATTTTTTGGCAAAACTTTACCTTCTTTCACAGTCCATAGATTAAACTGTCGACAACGTTTACATGACTATTTAAAATTTTATGAAAATTGACAACTCTACAAATGTCATTTTACTCGGTCTTCAAAAATGACAGACGTTATAATAACGTATTCCTCGAAACTGACACTGGCTGGAGCTTAGTGGCTGCCGTTAAGGAAAGAATAGAACGTATTCCTAATACCCACCTAAATCGCAGACTCTCATTTCCATCAACGTCGCCACGTTCTGAAAATCTTTATTAGTTCCATCTGATACCTACGTTATTTAGTGCTTAGCAGGTACTATCTTCCTGGTCATAAAGACGCATTTGCATTTAGGTTTCGAGATATAGGCACGTGAAGTTTTTTTCTTTGAAAAATGTCGGTTACTCTGATTTAATAACACTGAAACTAAATGAGATATAAAGGAACCGCTTATAGGGGGTTGTAAATCTGCAGGTTGTAGATCCTTTCACCTGATTTGAGTATTACAAAGATTCCTTTACGATTGGCAGCACAACTGTGGAACGATCTCCCATCTGGAAACCAACATTCCCAGTCGCTCCCTATTTTTAAAACCGGATAGCGTAAATATTATCTTCTAACACGCTCCTAGGGTGCAACGTGTATAATATTATTTATATTTAATAATAAGTACATTTAGATATATTTATAAATACATATATTTATATATAATAAGTATTTGATAAATTATTATGTCACTTTTTTAATGTTTCTTATTCCTACAATTATTTTTTATTGGTAAATTGGCACATTACGTCTCCCGCTCCGATTAACTATCATCTATCTCAAAGGATGTCTGGAACAGGTGGCTCTTAGCGACAAGGACGCCTTTGCCCACATTAGTTTTAAGTTGTTTATGTACTGTACTTGTTCTTGTGTGCGGGAAATAATGTGTATATCTATCTATCTCGTTCCAATGATTACAGAAGTGTTAATAATTCTTTTTCGCTAACAATGTCAATAACGGTGTTTATGATTAGGACGGCAGAGTATAAATATTCTTGATCCCCAAACGCAGGAAATTGTGTGTGTATTGAAATAAGAAAAAAACAAAATCTTGTAACATTTATTTAATTAGAATTTTAATACGAAGAATCAAGGTTATAAACAAATCTAAATACAGTAAACAATATGTGTACCAGCTAGTTAAAATAAATTCTTATTGAATAATTCCTTCTTCAGACTAGGCAGATATAATCGTCGACCTTTTTTTTGGCTGAGTGTGCATGGGAAGCTTCTCTCTTGACCGACTAGATTTATGCGTCTGGATATAACTGGGGAAAATAAAATACTAAATTATATTAAATAAAAAATGTGTACATAATATGTTGATAATACATAACAACATAAAACAATAACATATTGTACAATATGTGTAGTGTGTTTATTGGTAACACTTTCATTAGAAGATATTTGCCAAAGAGAAACTGCTACTTAACAATAAAGCCGCCTGTTGTACATTAGCTTATTCTGTGATACTTCCATTACTGTTCGTGTTGTTTTGCTTTTTTTTAACGTGCAACAAAGAATATTTCACTCATTAATTTCATCATTCATCAAGCCGAAAGATGTCATTCTCCCTTACTGCTGATTATGTAATCCTCCATCATTTTCATTTCCATTCATTTCCTTACAACATAATAACTTGCAATATTTGGTACTAATATTTATAGGAAAAATTGGATGTACAAAACCTAGTTTACCCCATTTGGATCCTTGGAGCACTGGACAAGACGCATGGCAAGTCAAAACATCTTTTTCTCCAGATGGATAGAGATTTTTCCAATATAAAGCTGCACCTTTCACAGGGTATACCGTCAGGCCGAGGTGTAAGAACACAGTAGCGCCGCCTTGGTGGACGTTTGATATCTGTCGAGGAAAAAACAATAATTTATTATTTTTTGTAATTTTCAAGTTTTTATGAATGACACGAAGTTTCACCATGACAGTCAATTGTTTTTGTCAAATAACTCGACTAGTTTGTTATAATTATTATTTCTTCGATTCGGCTGGACTCGAACCAGTGTCAAACCGTGCTAGACGCTATGGCAGCTAAGCCACGGAACGAATAAACTAACGAGTAGTGGAGTATTTTCACAAAACTGTATGAATATCAAGGTAGTGAAAAAATCGTGATATTCATTACAAATATAAAATAAATATTATATGAAAAAATATTTAATAGCAAAAATACACAAGCGCAGCTATTTTAGCGAAGCGAATACTTAGTGAAGTAGCAAAGTAATTTATTCCTATTTTTTTTTTATTCATTTTTTGTAATCGGGTCACATAGGCATTTAAATATATACATTACACTGACATACATACAATATATATACAATAGTAAAATAAGAAAACACGTATGGACGTAACGTGTAACGCAACGAGGGTGTCCGGTAATCAGCTTCGGAAACGTCGATACAATGACACCCTTTGGCCAAAAAAACTCCTCCTTCACGAAGGTCGACAGATCTTCACTTGGTACACTCACCATAAATTGGCCCTGTTCTGCATAAATGAGTTAACCCACAAAACGACAGTTTCGAGATATTAGAGAGATTTTTGGCAACTACTTGTCATTACTCATTTAATTAATGAAGTTTACAGGACAATTATATATCAAAAAATTTGTAATGAAGTAAGCATTACGATCAGTTTATTATTTTTTAAATTAACAAATTTATGATTAGTAATTAAATGAAAATGGTTTACGCAAAATTCGATATATCAACAAAATTATTACTTTATGTGTCAAGTGTGGTTAATACGTTTTTGCTAAATACGGAAAAGTACATATAAAGTGTCACTTAATCCTTGCAAACACTGAGAAATCACATTTTCATAGTGATCATGTATTAAGCCAAGCAAGACTAGTTTTTGTCAGTCAACGTGTTTTGTTTTCAATAATCAATAGCCCTTCTTCTTTGACCAGTAACAATCGGGGGTGCACAAAAGGAGCCTCCCCGCACGACGTAACATTCCTTACTTTTACGAGATTTGATCGAGACATGTGCGTCGAGGGTCTATATCTTCCCACGTTTAAATCTACTAACATCCATCCTTTCCACTTGACCACATAATCTTTCACTACACGACTCTCTCTTATTATTTTTTCGTAGTGGCGCGGCTGCAGCGCCACAGTGGCGCACTGTAGCGGTTCTATAAACGCCTAATTTGAAGACACTAACAGAGCACATACTACTCAAAGCTCTTATACTAATAGCATTTACCCTAAATTCATGCTTCTTCTGTCACACCCAATACTCGCTACCGTACATCAGGGTTGGAACCCGCACTTTCTTGACACGTTTTGGCTACCTATAAAGGCATACAGAGCTCCATTTACCTGATTTCGACTATTACTTTCCGTTCAATATCATCACACTAACAATCTCTTATTAATATAGCCGCGGTCGCAGTGCTGGTGATCTTCTTGTGTATCTCACGCACCAATGAGCAGCTGCCATCGAGAGCATGGGGGAAGCAATGGCCGTGAGCTTAGACATCGCTAAGGCTTTTGATCGGGTCTAGCACAAGGCACTTCTATCGAAGCTACTATATTACGGGCTTCCAAAAGGGCTGTGCACTTGGATCGCTAGCTTCCCGTCTCAGCGGAGCTTAAAAGTTACTGTGAACAGATTGTGCTTGGACACCATGCTCATTAACGCCGACGTTCCGCAAGGATCTGTGCTATCGCCAACCTTCTTCATCCTGCATATCAACGATAAGTTATTAACTAGTAACATTCATTGCTATACGGATGACAATATCAGTGTTGCCTATTATACAGGTCGTACAAATATATACCAGCAAGTGAAATAAAATCTATAAGTATTATTATTGAAATTCATGTTTTTTATGTAACAATTATCTACATTGTTTTCTGTTTCTCTTGTAATTGTATTGGATTTCATAGAACTTAAATATTAAGACTAATCTGCTCAATGCACGTTGTGTTTCATCTGTCACTAGTTGTGCATCTTGGCATAATACTAATAACAAATTGTGTAACATGTTATTTGATGTAACAATTGTAGATGAACCTAATAAATAAATTTAAAAAAAATAGATTGCAACTCGTGTCCAAAATCGAGCGAAGCAGTATTTCTGACCAGGTCACCGATTTTTGTTGTATAAAACACAAGTACGGGCCCATGTGGAGTTTTTCTCGCATCTCTTGGCAGGAGCTCCCAAATACCAGATTGACCCACTTGACTCCATCCAAAGTAGAGCTGTTCGTATTGTTGATGATCACAGACTCGCAGACGGTATGGAGCCCCTTAGCCTATGGACAGACGTAGGCTCTCTGTGCGTGTTTTACTGTCTTTACAATGGGAAGTGCTCTGAGGAACTTTTCGAACTGGTGCCACCGTCTCGTTTCCATCATCACACCTCCCCCCAAAGGAGTAGAGTCCATCCCCACATCTTAGATGCCTGGCATCTCGTTCGTTCCTTCCTCGAACCTGCAAAGTGTGGAATGATCTTCCTCCTGAAGTATTTCCTTTGCGCTATGGTATAGGGTTCTTCATAAAGCGTGTTTACAGGGCTCTCAAAGGCTGGCAGCGCTGCCAATCTTGTCCCCATTTTCCCACTTTTATCCCTTTCAATTACCATCACCTTCGTCTTACTCATATTCGCCTTCATTCCTTTTCTTTCACATTGAAATGAACCTATTAAGTTTCAGTTTTCGCAATAAATGTCTTGAAAGGTGCGCCATTAGCCAAATTCTTATTTTAACAGTAAAAGGATTATTCTCATCGCCCAATCCTCAGTTCCAGAATCTATATCATTTTCCGGTCTGTCCATATCATCGACAAAATTGATGTGTAAGCGTACTTAAACTAAATCATTTCAAACTACGTTGAAAGATATGTGTTGTAATTCGCATTTATGATTTAACCACACATAACACATTTTTGCGAAATTTGCCTATGAAACGAACCAGATTTTGTGAAAACAATTTTTTGATTTATTTATGCATTACTACGATTATTTTTAAATATATTACTGAAAAGAATATTAAACTTTATATTACAAGGTATAAGACTGCATTCATAACTCATTTTACGATTTTCTGTGGGTTAACACATTTATGCAGAACACGGCCCAAATGAATTAAAACTAACGTGGTGACGGGACTCGAACTGCTCGACTCTCAGGGTGACATATTGGCTTTCATTTCACTAATAATTACTATTAAGTTGATTTTGCGTTAACTTACGTAGAAAAGAATTGTTGACAGTCGATTTTCATTATGTTTGTATTGTTTATCCTAAAATATAAAATAAATATTAAAAAACATAAACGTACAGGTTTTTTTTGTAAATAAAAATTAAGTGTCTAAGGACCAAGGTATGTTTTTAAATGTTTGGTTACCATATTAAAGTTAAATAAATATGTGTATATAAATTTATTAAATTATTTATTTAGTCACATAATATTTAAATTATGAAAAAGACCAAAAAAGCCGTTGGTATTAAAAAATATTAAAAAGCCTGATTTTCAGTAATTGGCAAAAACGTGGCCGATCCGTAGACACTGTTGATATGTATGTTTCAGTTTTTTCTGTAACTACTTACTTGAGCAAAATCGTGATGAGGTGCTTTGAAACCTCCAACATCATAGTAGACAACTTGAAACATGTCAGAGTAATTAATATTAAGGCCTGAAAAATGTTCTACCCGTTGCCTAACTTTAGTTAGAACGCTAGACTTATTGTCTTCTAAGTATATCTCTATTCTTACGCAGCGGTTTAATGCACTGGTGGAACTTATTTGCTTGTTAACTGCTGCAAGAGTGAACTGGAAAATATTAATACCCACTTTATTACTGGCTATCTAATATGAATAAAGAATATGGACAAGGTTTTTGAATCAAACCATTGTTGTTACTTGAATTCGTAGAAGTTATTTAATCACTTAATCGATTATATTTCGGTTAATTTAACTTTTCGATCGGTTAAGGGGCCTATGAATAAAAAAAGAGTATATTAGGCATCTTGGAGGTGTACGTGTACAATCTTCGTCCTCGTTTTCTCTTCTTCGCTTGTTGATAAACATGAGTCTTTTTCTGACGAAAAGGATAAGTATTTTTTTTAATAAAAAAAGTACGCATTCGATGAAACGTGACGATGAGGTCGACAATGGATCATACACACCTAAATTATGCCTATTCACTCTCGCCTTGAAAAGGCCCAAGTTATAGCGTTCAGGGAAGAAGTCCATAGCGATTATAGCAATAAGGCAGGGAATTCCACTTCATAACCGTTCGCCATATAAATGCGGAAGCGTAACGCTCCGTGCATTCGCACGTAGCGTTAGCCTTGGGATATCCACAACATAGGGGTTGAATCCCAGGCTATGTCTTTGCGTCTCGGTGAGGAACAGCAACTATTGTTTATCAGGTAGATTTAGCTTAGGTAGGTTTACAGGTGAATGTAGTCGGTGTCTCACCTCTTCCAACGAAATGTCTTTAATCACATTAATCTCGTTGTCACTAAGTACATTGTAAAAAAGGTACACGTCTGGTGATAAGTACAATTGCTCTGCCCTTATAGGCGCTAAACGAAGAAATGGATGTGTCCTCTTTAGGTAAAAACATTTTAACCTGAAAAGAAAATGTCGCTTTTAGACAAATTAGACCGTAATCACAGATGGTAATTCATTGTCAGAACTGTTAGAGCCAAAGTCAAATTGTTTTTAGCCAAGTTCAGATTTCTTAAAGTTTCTAAAATTACATTTGACAAATGTCAATGGTTTTAAGGCGCATTTGGGATTGTAAATGAAAATAGTGAAGAGGCGACTTGAATTCATAACTATTGGATTTAATTCGTAACACTATCAGACACGAATCATACTAAAGATAATTGCAATTACAAAGGAAGTATAATTTACCTTTTAGTAACTTCACAAGAAACAGTAATTTCACCACGGCACATTGCTCTAAACAGATATTTTGATCGTTTATGTAATTTATTACAGTCAATGATAACTTCACGGCTCAAGTTGAAGTTTAATCTCTCTGGTTCCTGAAATAATGTGCAACATTTACTTAGCAATTGATTAGCTATTTTGACAGCTACCGAATTCATGGCTTATGCATTCAGACTCCAGTCTACGTACCTGCAATAGTACCGTTAAATTCTCACCGAGCTTTTCTTCTTTCCTCAATAATGCTTCCAATTCATCAATTTTCATTTGTCTAAACTCCTTCGCGGCATCTGTTTGTGATTTATTATATTTCCCTGGCTGTCTTACATTCTTTAGTTTATTGTTCCAGAGCAAAGCATTTTTCACATCTCCTGAAACGTAGAACTCTTCAAACATATACTGGATACTTTTTCTTAAATTACCTAGCCAAACAACATTCTAATTACCCTTTCGGAGAGCAATGACCAAAGTGAAAAAACACACAACAACATTATTAATAATTGGAATCAGAACTGGCACAAGAATGGTCGCAGGGTAAGATCCACTTGGGGTCGCTCTGAGCCAGCGAAATAAATAAGTGAGGGATTAATTTGCGGTCAATATTGTTGCCGACGTCAGTAGTTCAATGGATTGTATTGTCGGCGCTAGATAAGGAAGCCCCGGGTTCAATACCCGGTAGGAACAATTTGGACAATGAACCTTTCTAAATTGGTTCTGGTCTGGGTGTTCCGGGTATAGTATTTGTCTAGTTTGAGACCAGGTAAATTTTATGGTTGTTTGGCATTGCATTATTATTAATACAAACCCAATTTTACGTATGCCTCGCAGATATGTTTCACTATTTCATATTTTGAAAAAATGCTATTAATCCTATCTTTAATTTTGTATTTTCTATACGCCTCTAGCAACCACGCTAACGCTTCTTTATATGTATTTTTATTGCTCAAAATCCGGCCTACTTCGAAGCAATCAAAGCTCGTCATAGGAGAACTGAAAAAAACGAGGTTATTTTGTTTCCATTTAGGCACCACGAATTGTATCTGTGGTCTAAATAAAATCAGATACTCACAAATACTCCCTTACACTTTTATTGTCTTGGCTGAAAACATGATATAGGTTATAGCTTTTAATATTTGCATATTAAGCTGGTAATTTGTACGTACAATACATTACACCGAAAGATATAGGTACCTACATTCTCTAAAAAATATTTGTTAAAAGTTGGTTACATACCTTGATTGGTGTTGCTAAGTGTACATGAATTATTGTGTTGTCATCACTCACTCTATCTATCGCAAGACTATATATGTTGTAAATAATATTTAATATCAGCAATTTGTTACCCGAATCGAGTATGCAAGTAACCACCAGCGAGATGTGTGACGTTCAAACCATATACGAATTGATTTCTCCAAAGCGCCAAAGTCGCTCTTTCTAGATCTTTTTGAGATGGGAACAGTAGCGAAGCATTTTTTGATTTCTTTCTGAATTCTAAAACGAAAGATTTACATGTCAAAAACGGCTGCTTTTTAAAAATCTATAAGATGCAATAAGATGGGTTTGTTTCAATGAACACGTCACCTTGATAACGACACGAACAACGATAAGGTAACAATGCTTAAATAATTACATTTGTCTGTTCTTAAGTCCCAAAATCACTACTTTGTGCAGCATCTTAAGGTGCTTTTCTACCGGCAAGACAAGACAACAATCGAAATCTCACCGGGCCTATTTCCACCAAAAATTGCCATTAATATCTATCGCGAGCACTCGTAAGGACGTGGATAATAACAATCAGTGCTATCCAGTTTGTCTAGTAGGTAAAAAACACGCAACTGAAGTAAAATATCCCGTAAATTATTATTATTAAATATATTAACGTAAGAAGAATCAAATGAAGATTCCCTACGATGTTTTAAATTTTGCCATACAAATTTCAATCCTCGCCTCGCCTCGCCGCACTATGAGAAATAGTAGAACAACGGCGTATCAAAAATGATTTTGACTAATGTCTTAATTGAAATACACATTTAATTTTATTTGATAGTTTAGATGTCATACTTTATTATATTAAAGGTTTTTTATATTAGACAGGTATGTTGATTTAATAAAAATACATCCAAATTTGTTGTGTAATGTAAAGAAAATAAATCGTAATTAAAAATGGAGACATTAACCTATCTTTATCAAATTCATCAAAGGTTTTGACTGTTAGCGTAGCTTGCCGAAGCTTCGAATAACGTAGGTATTCATTATCAAAATTTTATAAAAATCAGCTGCGGTTTTTTGCGGCTTCTAAAGATATGAAAGAAATCGTATCAAATGTCCTACCCCAGAAAAATGCCCTTATCAATGCAACGCGATACGATAATATATATGCGGTTGCATTTATTATATTTATCAATATTATTCACACTCCAACGTTACTATATAATGCTCTGACACATTAATTTCATAAATTTATTAAAACAAGCAGGCGTTTGTTACTGAATAGACTTTTCCAACTCCTTTGAAAATGAGTACTTTCAAATGTTTGAGACGAGAACTAATACTTTCCTACATTGAAGGTGGAAGAAATGAATCGGTTCTAGAAACATTTTTACGAGATTGTTGTGAACTTTCGGAGGATAATTTACGTTTGATAATAAGTGATGTAAAAAAAAATTGCTAACACAGTACAACAGTCGATGGAGCCAAGCATCACGAAAGAAAGAAGCCTTTTTGAGGGTTAACAGTGATTGGTTGGATCAAGAGCTTTCTGTTACTCTGTCAACGACAATCGATTCCATTCCATCTACTTTAACTGGGAAACGAGGAAGACCTTGTATGTCTTATGAAAATTCTTCAGAATCTAGTAAGAAAGGCAAAAATACGACACTGCTTAATGAATATAGATTAGAACACGTCTATGGTGCATTTATTCAAAGGGGGAAAGTAATGAAGCAAAAATCTTGGAGGCATTGAGGCCTGCAGATGCAAAGAAAAAAAATATCAGTGCTAAAATTGATGGACGACTCCAATACCATCCAAACGCTGAGCGATCAAGAAGCATTAAGAGTATTCATTGAATTGGATCTGACCAGGGTTCAATATTTATATTTGAAGAATATTAATATTAATATACCTGCATCAGCTATTGAAATTACAAACATATGTGCAAAAATGGTATCCGTACAGGATTTATTAGATCACACAACGGCGAGGATATTGATGATAGATTCCGTGTACGAAAACGGTTGGAAACAGTTGGTTTTATACAGTAAATGGGGATGTGATGGCTGGTCAAAGTGAGTATAAACAAAGACCTTCAGAGTAGTCTGAACTTGTGTCAGACTCATACATATTCGTCGCGTCTGTTGTGCCCACCGGGTTAGTTGATGAAACGACTGGTACTGTTGCTTGGCAAAATCCTGCGCCTCCATCCGTGAGATTCTGTCGCCCTTAATTGTGTTTTTGAAATAAACTCCTGAGAAAACTAAAGCTGTTGTTGACGATATTCGAAATCAAATTGATTCTTTGAGTCCATCGTTGATTGTTAAGGAAGGCAATGGCGTTCAAGTTAAACATTAACTTTTTTGACCATGATAGACGCCAAAGTAGCTCAGATATTAACCGACTCATTTGTGGTGCTACTCCACGTCTAATGAATAATTTACGAAATGTAACTGCTAGGCCCGAAAATGAAAATTCTTTTCGTTATAAATTATCAACACTGCACGCCTGGATTCGCTGTATGGAGATGATGCATATTTCTTAAAATCTTTCGTCTCAAAAATGGTCTGCTACGACTGACGAAAATAAACAAATGAAACAAAAGAAGAAAACTGTGGTACAAAGACGCTTTCGAGAAGAGCTTTGATTAATAATTGATAAACCACGGCAAGAAGGTGGTAATACCAATGACGGTAACACTGCGAGGATTTTTTATAATGCAGTCTGCTCAGCTGAAATTACAGGAGTCGATGAAATTTTGATAAAGCGACTCTATATAATCCTTCTAGCTTTATCGTCTGGCATAATGATAGACTCCTAAAAATTTGGGAAATATACTTTGGAAACAACAAGAATATGCGTCATTAAATATGATTGGTATTATATGCCATCTTCGGTACACAAAATATTAATTCACGGAGAAGGTATAATTAATCATTTTGCAGTGTTACCTATCGGACAACTTTCAGAAGTTGTTTATTGTCTCGTACTTTTCTTTTTATTTTATATAATTTTAAGAAAAATTTATAATTACATTTAATTTATTTTATGAATAAAAAATTACCGTAACATGGCATTTCCATTTTTTTAAAATAAATATTGGGTAGTATTTACCAGAGGGATTTATGATTTTGCACATTTTTTCTCTCAATTACGGGTAGTTAAATAAAAATGTATATGCGTTTAAAAGCGTCGTTATTCCCACTATGTATAATAAAAAAATTAAAGATGTATTTCAAAAAACAAAAAAGTTACAGATTTTTGGTCCGTAACTGACTTAAATTTCCAATAGTGCGCCGGTAGAAAAGCACTTTCAGTCTCTCTACTACAAGGAGAGGTCAATATGCTGTTAACAACACTAATGTTATTATTTTTTATTTATAAGTTAGATCTCGGGACCTCATTCCGTTTACACTCCGTAACTATATTGTACACATGTTCCACAATCCCATCCCTTATTCGCCTTAGGACAGATTCGCTTTACGACAGATTAGCTTTATGACAGATTCGCTTTATTATGCTAACTTATTTAACAAAATATGGTCACATTCTGTTCATAAGTTTGCACCGGAGCGTTATCTCAAACCGACTGCCAGATCGTATCTCAATTTTGTGCTCATCAAACCAGGGGGATCGAGGGAGCAACGGTATATAACTAAACTATTTATATTCAAAGTATAGAATTAAATTATACTAACCTATTTTTTCATGGACAAGCTTTTCGACAGGTTGAAGGTCAATGGTCAATCGTTTTATCAATATGAAAGCGTTGACAGGATTCGCTATATAGTCCGTAACATTTTTCGATATCTTCTTATATTCAGCCTTGTAACGCTTTAGAGTTCTAAAAGTCAGTTTTTTGGTTTTCTAGTCGAACACAGCAAAAGCGAGTAAGATTTTGAGGTCTTTTTTTAAATAAAAAGTTATTATTCTGTTGTTGTTTGTGAAAAGCACTATACATACCTCGACGGAAACAGACATTGCCTGTCTAGCGTATCGAATACTAAGCCAAGGCAGTCCTTCACTTCCCGATGTTTGCAATAATGTATTATGGCTACTAATTATTTCTATAGATTCTCTTTTTAACACTAAGGTACATTCAAATTAGTTGCTTACGAATACACTGCAGTGGCGCGTCTGTGGGGCGGCAGCCGTGTCACGCACTACTTATTTTAATACAATATCTAGTCTGCAAAAGAGGCACGCGTGGTGCGATTGTGGCATTGCAGTTGCGCTTCTAAATCTAGGGTCGGCGGACTACAGCACATAAGTAAAAAGTGCTTCATTTGTTAATAAATAATTATATATTTTTTGTATTGTTTATAGTATTGGAAGAATGAATGAATAATGTTTTATTTATATCTCAATCACAAAACAGACTTAGAGTAAGGAACTTAAGGTTAAAACAAGATTAAAAATTGGTCAGACTGTTTTGTGAGAGACTGGTGCCCGAGACAGGTATAGAAAAACCTGAATTATGGGTCACCAGGGGAAGATGTGAAGAGAATGATAAATTTGAAAAAGACGCCTCTAGGATAAAGTTACAAATTTATGAAGTAACGAATGATTTCGCTTATGGGCTTTAGCCGGTAGATGTATTAATTGAAATGAATGATGTTGCATTTTGACTTGTATTTTAGTCCGCCGACCCCAGAAATATTGAATGATAATGAGTACTAGCGCGGTGCAGCGCCACAGTGGCGCCACTGCAGTACTTATATAAGCATCCTATTTAAGGCGCCCTAAAAATTGGAACTTACGTGTTCAAATGCGTTAATCTTTGACTTTCTTTCCTCAAATATTCTTGTAAATCGTCTATTACGGTTTTCTGTGTATATATTAATTTGTCTAATTTGTGCGTAAGGGCATTGTAAAGTTCTGCTTGTGCCCACCACGTTACTGCCAAGAAACAGGCTAGGCGCAATAATTTAGATGGTATCATTTCTGAGAAAAAAAAACATTATGCAAGTCTAATTTATTTTAGTACCTCATTATAACACCTACCATTTACATTTTACGCACTAGGGAAACCCTGTATCGCGGGTGCTATGGACATAGACAACCACAAATTACACCCGAACTCACGAAACAAATAAATGTAGGCTTTACAAATATTTCTCTCGGCCAGGGAATCGAACCCGCGACCTCTGCATGGCAGCCCAGCACCATTACCGTTCGGTCACGGAGGCAGTTAAAATTTGGTAAATAAACAAGTCATTTGAAAATTCACTTACCTCTGATAAAATTTATGTTTTTAGATTCTCTAATATTTGCAACTATAATAAATTACAGCATTAAACTGAATTAAAATCTTTGCATATGTATTAAAATTGGCATTATAATTAATGCGATATTTAAAAAAAAATGTTCCATTGTGCACATTCCTACATAAATACTAATATATCAATAGCGAAGAAGACAAATCTGAACAAAATCTGAGTGTTACCTCATTCAAGTCAAAATCTTAAATGCAAAGACAGAAATATGGAATTTAAACAAGGATGTATCAGATAACAACAAGACGTTCTTCGAATTTCGAAGTATGGTAGGTACGTGAAATGGGTATGTAAATTCTGATCGCGCGCTCTGCACGATTTGTCGCAACCGATCACGCTATTCGATTCAATTAATATGGTTCTAGTTTTTTGCTTTCAAACAATTGTCAAAAAATAGAAATTAAACAATTTAAAATAATCAATGACGTTATGATATTTGTCTACATCATAAAATAATTTACAGTTCTTATTAATAATTATACCAAAGTTTTAAAAATTTGCTAAATTTGCTAAAACTTAACACAGTGCTGTGTTAGTGTTAGTATTTAGGAAGTTTTGTAGCGAATTTATGAACACAATTTATAGCACAATTATAATAATCGTGATCATAGTATCAATGTGTACTTGTAAGTTTATTAGTTTCCACAACCAAACGATCGCCCGATCAGAGTGTACATAGTACATACCCCGAGAAATAGTTGTTTCACAAAAGTGAAGTGATGACGCAAGTGTGATTTACGTCTTACTTACGGCGAGCAAGGTTTGAATGTCAACTGAAAATGTTATAGTTACTCGATAAAAAAAAACTCAATCAATTAGTTTACTGAAATAGAAAACAAACGGGTGTAGCATCAAAACACACGATAATATAAAATATTTACAAAAATATATCACACGCACACGGTTTAGGTAGAGTTCGAACAAAAGGCTAAGCTAAGACTTTCTCGGAGCGTTTTGTTTAGGTTGATTATTTTTCTTCCAAAACTGTACTGGCATTGTTTCTTGTACAAGAGGACACGGGCGTGTTAGTTCTTGACCAGCTTCGTGAATCCATTTATTGGCAACTGCAAGACGCTTCTAATTAGAAATGTTATTTATTTAATGTCACGATATTTTAGTGCCATAATGATATTCAATTGTTTTGTCAAATAACTCCATAAGATCGAACACAATAAAAAATCCTTCGATCCGGCTGGACTCAAACCAGCACCTTCGTGGATGACGAACGCTCTCCCAACTGAGCTACGGAACAAACCAGCAGACCTTACGAACTTCTCTATGTGCTTGTTGCAGGTCCTTGTTTTTAACCGCTTTTTGCCATAACGCCATCTATGAGACATCTATGAAAGTTTTTCTTCAATCAGCCAGGTACCTTTACAGCTACCAGCGGCTGACTAAAGAGGTCGCTTAAATAAATGTAATATTAGGGGTTAAAGTATGAAATTGCCGTTTTATTGCAATAGGTTCTTTGAATTTTCATAGAATCTTCATGGTTTGAGGTTTTCGAATGAAACTTTTTTCAAATGGTTTCTGTGATTTTTTTTTTTAAATTTGAAACATTTGAATATCGACTTTCAATTGTTTTTGTTATTCAATTTAGACAAGAAAGATGGATACTGCGAAAATTCGAGTGATTTTTGAATACGAGTTCCGACGCGGAACTAACGCGGCAGAAACAGCCCGCAATATCAATGCTGCGTTTGGAGAGGGGTCTACTAATGAACGCACCGTGCGATTTTGGTTTAAACGCTTTCGTGATGGAAATTTCGACTTAAAGAACGAGCCACGAGGAAGACCGCCCACACAGGTGAATAACGATGAATTAAGAGAGATAGTGGAAGCCGATCCTAGTCAAACTACCCAGGAATTAGCGGCATGGTTTAACGTTACCTTATCCACAATATTGACTCACTTGCGTCAAATCAATAAAATAAAAAAATACGAAAAATGGGTGCCTCATGATTTGACTGATCTGCAGAAAGAAACGCGTGTTGAAACTTGTGTTGCCTTGTTGAACCGGTACAGAAATGAAGGAATATTGGATCGAATTGTAACATGTGATGAAAAGTGGATTCTTTATGATAACCGGAAAAGAAAAATGCAATGGCTGACCCCAGGTCAAATGCCACAACAGTGTCCTAAAGCAAAACTTACCAATAAAAAGGTAACTGTGGTAACTGTTTGGTGGTCTCAGCATGGTGTTATTCACTATAGTTTTCTCCGATCTGGTCAAGCAATAACGGCAGATGTCTATTGTGCCGAACTCCGAACCATGTTGACAAAACTAGCAGTAAAACAGCCCCGACTCATGAATCGATCTTCACCATTATTGCTCCACGACAACGCGAGACCTCACACAGCACGAGAAACCATTTTGACCCTTCAGGAACTGCAGTTAGAAACCATTCGTCATCCTCCGTATTCACCAGACCTTACTCCAACGGACTACCATTTTTTTCGTGATTTGGACAATTATCTACGTGACAAGAAGTTTTCTTCCCAGGAGGCAGTACAAAATGCTTTCACACAGTTTGTGCAATCTAGATCGTCGGAGTTCTATCGCAAAGGCATTAATAACCTTCCCATTAGATGGCAGCAATGTATAGATAATAATGGCAACTATTTTGATTAAATAAATTTGTTAAAAATTTAAAAAATAAACAATTTAGATTTTCAGTACAAATCGGCAATTTCATACTTTAACCCCTATTATTAAGTTTAATGAGTATCACGATTTTTTACTACCCACATCTAACACCTTTCTTGTTTTTCAACATTTCGTTTTTATTATAGTATAAAACAGTTATCTAAGAGACTGACCCCATTTATTTCCATACAAAACAGGACATGCTGCATGCAAAGTTCTGTTATCTCCATCTCCCGATGAAAGTAGATTTGTCCAGAACAGAGCACTCCCCTTGATAGGTGGCACTGACAAGCCCAGTCTAGTGAAAACCGTAGCTCCGCCATAAGCCACGTCTGACATCTTTGAATAAAAGTAGCTATTAAATTTTTCTTTCAGATTTTTTAAGCACTAATAAATTGTGTCTACTTACATAAAAAAGTACGGTAGCTAGTCTGTTGCCACGATCGCCGTGGTGTTTACCCGTCTGTAACAATATTTACTATTAACAAGCAGCGTTACTTTATTTATAATTTATTTTCATAAAAAAATAAGTGCGCATTCGTCCGCCATCTCACCTGATGGAAAGTCACGATGAGGTATCGCGTACGAGTTGTCGAGAAGGTACGAGGAACATGTACACCTAAATAATACCTATTAACTCTTGCCTTGAAACGGGCGCAAGTTATAGAGTTCAAGAAATAAGTCTGCAGGCAGGGAATTCCACTCCATAGCCGTTCCCCGTATAAATTATGTGAAAGCATAAGCGCCCAGTTACACGAGGCGAAAGTTTTCTCGCGGCCGCCGCGTGGTGACCGCCCAGTTACCACGCCTTCATGTGCATTAATGGCGAATCTGAATTCTATTTACTAGGCAATAACAGTTTAATTCTTTTGAATAATATCGCATTTAAGTTAAAACGTTAAAGCTAAATAAATAGAGCGTATTTTGCCATGACAGTTAGATGCATGCGGTCGCTCCGCGGCGGCAACGCGATTAAAATTCGTGTCGAATAAATGCGTCCCACCGCCACGTGCGAATACTTTGAATATATACAGTGTAGGGGTTGCGTCTAGCCTAGCCTATGTCTAGTCCAACGATGGTAGAAAGGGGAAGGCGGAATGAAATCGCACATTTCCGCTGCACATTCTCCGTGGTACACTGTATGAATACCGATAAGTAGACAACTTTACGAGGACGTTCAAGGCTCTGCAGTTTCGCTTCCATTCATTCTGTCACCTATAAGCCTCTGGGCAGGTTTTTCAAATGAATCCAAGGTGGCTAGTTGGTATTTAGCAGAACCAACCCATAGGTGGCAGTAGTATTCCGTACGTGATATGACTTGTGCTTGGGACAGCTGAAGCAACGTTATATCGAAGCAACGTTGCATTTTAAACGATATACAAAATGCATCATTGTTGAGACGATACTTCAAATACTTTTAAATGCTCTTAGAGAGTTAATTACTTATCGTATATACATATATATAACATTTATACCTTATCAAAGTCATAATGAGGATTGTATTGCCCTCCAATACCATAGTTGGCTATTTGTAGCTGTTCAGCATGTGTCGTACTCATGCCAGTGAAATCTTCTATACGTTGTGACATTCTCGCTATTACATCGTGGTCGATATCATCTAACCATGCTGATTTACTAACACGACTCTCTGTTCGTATTTTTTCATTATTAGTGTATACCAATGCACGCTTTAGCTGGAAAAGATATAAAAAAATTGAGACAAAATGTCAACTGATACTCATAATGTGATTACGTAATTGTAAGGTGTATGATGAATGTACATTGTCACAAGATGTTTCAAAACAAACATTGATTTATCTACACACGTATCATAAACCCTCTATGATGTGGTCAAAAACCTCAAATTACGACCAGCATAAATAAACTGTTTTGTTAGAACAAATTCCTTATATGTTATTATTGCTTCATAATAACATCGAATTCGATTTTATTATTACATTAAAATTTCGAACATCTCTGAAAAATAAAACAATTTGATTCGATCTCAATTCTAATATCTGTCGAGATGAAGTTTTATTCGAAATGAAATGTCAATAGCAAACAATTTTGACAAATTTTACACGTTACTTGATATCGAACGATATGTTAGTTGGGGCCGACTCTAGTTTGGCATGAATTAAATAAAAACTACGGTTGTGTGACATGCGCGAGAAAAGTTATTATTTGCCTCCGTTTCGCCAGGCGTAATGTGTGATTCCTGAACATATCATAAAGAGCTTATAATATGTGTATAGATATAGCAGTGTATGTAACTGTACATAATGAGGCATTAAAATACTTGTGTGATGTTTAAATCTGTGTAACAGTCAAATAAAGTACTATTTATTGCTATTAGGTAAGAAAATACAATAAAAATCCAGCAAAAATTGCAAGCTCTAGAACCTGTATACCAAAATAAGCGACAGCATTAGTGGTATAACGTCGGGGATAGTGTAAATCCGCGTATATAGCTTTGGTAAAGATTGCGTATCTGCACTAAACGAAATTTTACAGGAGAGGGATTTAACGTTATTACTTTGTTATTTCAATGGCTACGTTCATTTTTGCGCGTAAGCATTAATTTATGTTGTCTACGGACTGACAACAATAGATTCCCATATATCACACTCATAATCCACTGCTAGTTACGCGTAATTGCACTGTCCCCGTTGTAATTATCTTAGTATTTCTTACCCGATGTCCAACAGTCTTTTTAATGGCATCGATTTCGTTTTGATTTAGAACGTCGTGAAAAAGAAAAACATCGGGTTTCTGGAGTAGCTGCTCCGTTTTTATGGGCGCTAATTGAAGGAAGGCATTTCTTCTTAGGTAGAAGCAATGTAACCTTCAAAACCAGACAAAATTCGATGTTGTAGTAACTACCTATAGTTAACAGAAACAGTTTTATTTACGCTGTACATGAGTTGTCATCAGAATATTCTTATGCACTTTACGAACACATGCACCTTGAAATTGACAGGCATCGCATCATAGAAGGAAGAGGGTCAGACACATTGACTTACAAATAAATGGACGACACGGGTCTAATACAAAAACCACGAAAAAAATGTCCCAAGTCAACCTATTTAAACGTAGTGACATGTAAAGGAATATGAAAAAGCTAAAACGTTGAATTTAAATTGTAATGTCATCGCAGTACTGTCTAATTTTGCTTGCTTCGCAGTCAGTCGAACAAACGTAGACTAGAGCGTGAATGACGCTCTGTATACGATTTTAACGCCCTATAAGTTCGGACACTTTTTAGCGCGGACCCGACGTCCATATAATTGTAAGTCAATGGTCAGACATAAAATTTTAGTTTATCCCGGAAATACTCGTTAACTTTTAGAAATTAATATTTTTTTATTTATTTTTAGTTCCGATTTTAACCGATTCTAAAAAAGAAGGAAGTTCTCAATTCGACTTTTTTGTTTGTAGGTATGTTACGCGATAACTCATTTTGAACATTTGCATTTGTGGACCGATTTTGATGACTATTTTTTTATTGGAAGGAGAGTACCTCAGTATTATTACATTTAAATTTGAAGGAAATAAACTAGTGGCAAACTAGGCGAGGAATCCAGTTTCGCGTACTTTCCAATAACCGATTTCAATAAAACTTGGCAAATAGGTGAATTCCACGAACTTTTGAGGTCGGTCATTTTTTATAATTAAATATTCAGATATTTTATTACAGATATTAACTGACATAGGACGAGGCCCGAACTAAGTATCTTCAATTTAGAGGTTGTTTGTATAAGGTTGTTTTTATTTTGAGGAATGTGATATCGAGGGGCATCTTCTACTTTATTATAGAACATTCCAAAACAAATGAAGTGATATAAACATCTCTGAACTAATATGACTTACTTGCGTGCAATTTGGGTTGGGACGTCAATTTCGCTTCGACACAGTTCTGCGAACATTTTCCATGCACTTGCCGATACTCTGATTTTTCGCCAACTATCTACCTCTTTTGAATGACGGTTATCCTAGAATTTTAAAATCTAGTGATACGGGAGGGTTTTTTATACACACGAGTATCAAATATTAACAAAATATCCTATTTTACTTCTAGCTAATTGTAAAACATAAGTTAAATTTTATTAATACGAAGATCGAACACAAAAAACGTTTAATTTGACAGAACCCGAACCTGCATCTATGCCATACCAGGGCGACCACTCTACCAACTGAACTATACAGATCGAGTCAGCAGACCTTTCGAATTACTATATGCGTTTGTTACAGATCTTTGTTATTTGGTTTTAACGGCTTAGAGTAGCGCCATCTGTGACAAATCTATGAAAGATTTTCTTCACTCAGCTAGAGACCTTTATAGCTACCAGAAGTTGACAAGAGATGTCATTTATTACACACTAAATTAAGATTGTCGTTGTAATTCCCGCGTGAAACTAATTTGTATTAATAAATTAATTATAATCACCTCAGGCAACATTTCTTTATCAAGAACGCCTTGTGAATAGTAACGCAGAATGGGATCGTCATCGACTTCACGTGGATTTACTTGGGATATCTTGTTTACCCATGCTAAGGCATCACTTTCATCTGTTAACAAAAGTAAATATAATTGTCTAAGTACATTAGTAGTTATTTATAAATCCATTAAAGAATGCCATTCTTTGAAACAAAGAAATCTGAACTAAAATGTTTTATGGACGTACGGATATTTATATGTTTACATTCGACACGTTTCCAAGGTCATGAAATCTTTTTTTTGGTGACGAAACGAACAGGTCGTATGCCTGAACACGTCTACCCATAACAGTTGCAGTACCATTTAAATTTGGAAAAATCTGAGAGGCACTGACGTCACGCTGCGATGTAAAGTTGACATGTCCCATGATTCTGCAATCCATCAACACCTTTGCTCTTCCAAACCAAAATGCAATACTGCAAAGTATTAGCAGCAAAACTCCTTGTGAAACAATTTGTTCAGGGAAGTACTGCCACCTTACCTATTTTTGCCAAGCAGTAACATCAGCATTACTGTGTTCCGGTTTTGGAGGGCTTAAGGGTGCTGGTGAAATTACAGGCACATGAGAATTGTCACCTTATGTCTCAGAGTAACGGGCGCAGTGGTAGTGCCCCACAAATTGTTGCGATTTAAAGTTCTGAGTAGCAATGCAACTGTCATGGACAGGCGTGTAGCTTACCATGAGGCGCACGATTTGTCCGTCCTGTCACTTGATATCATAAAAAAGCCAAGTAATTTGTTTAGTTGAATGGTACACTTTATCGTGTTACGACTTCAGACAGTTTGAAAGATTGCATTGAAAAGCTAGCTGTAGTTGAATACGTTTACCACCCTATGTAGTTGATAAAATAGCAAAACCCAAACTAACTCTTCGAATAATGGTAACATTTGGCGATGTGTGACATGATGTCTGCAGCGGAGAAAGGGTTCACAACTCGATCTTCATTACTGAATTTTTCAAGTGCCTCAATGAACCAGTGGACTGCTATCTGATAATCTTCATGCTTGTACAGCTTCAGAGCTAAGTTGAAACAATCGCTTGCTGTCATTGGAGAGCTGAAATTACACAATGTTTACTTTTTATTTATATATTTATTTAATGGTAATTAACTAGTTATAATAATCCAGTAAAAAAACAAAATTCAAGGCAGTCAATAATATAATCAATAAATAAACAAAAACTTACAATGTTTTTGACATGTGCTTTTTGTTTCTGAAAAATGATAAAGAAATTTAACCCTGTTACGAAACTAGGGACACAACTGTACAGTGATTTTTAAGTTCATTGAATGACACAATGTTTAACTACCATCACATTCAATTATTTTATGAAATTACTCCATTAGTTTGTTATAATTATTATTAAAAAGATCGAATATTTACAAAAAATTCCTTCAATCCGTCTGGATTCAAACCAACGTCTTCCAGCAAACCGTGCTTAGTTGGCGTCTGGCACAGTTTGCTGAAAGACATTGGTTCGAATCAGCAGACTTGGGACCCTGATCTTAGTTAATTTTTATGAGAAAATGTTTACGTACCCTAATCGAGCATTGAGTTTTCCTCCGGCGAGACGTGTGACATTTAATTTGTATGTATCTTGTAATCGCGCTATACCCAGAGCTGCTCCGGCCGTATCTTTTTCAGTAGGATACAACAGTTTTGAGTCAAATTCATAATCTGAAAATGTCAACAATTAAAAAAATATTCGAGAAATTGATTATTCGCTAATGAATAAAATTACAAATCGCTATGAATGTAATTACACCTTTGTTACATAAAAAAACCGACCTGAGAAGTTGGCCTTTTAGTTTTCGCTGTACTTTATTAGCATTGGAATTACATCTAGGTGCCAAGTTCTATTGAAATCCCTTAACGGAAATTGGGTGAGCAACAATAAACCGGATTCATCCCTTAATTTGCCATGCTTAGAAATGGACTATTTTATTCAAATTTGAAGAGAACTACTACTGGGGTAGGTACCTCCTTTTAAAAAAAACCATCGAAATAGATTCACAAATGACGGAGCAATCGCGTAACAAACACACAAAAAAGAAATAAAATACAGACGAATAGAGAACCTCTTCTTTTCTTGTTAAAATAAAATTACAAAATAGTTTATTTACCTGTCGCTATTGATGCCACCATTTTTAAATAATCAAAATCGGTAGACAACCTTTTTATTAGTGTGTATGCGTTGATCGGGTTTGCTAAATAATTTTCTACTTCACGACTTGCTTTGGCGTGTTCAGTTGTGAAAATGTTTAAATACCTGTAAGCATTCGCGTCACAAGATAAATTTCACAATTTGAAACACATTTTTAGTAGCAGTAGAGCTCCTTGTGAAAGGTCTCCGTCCAGTGAAGTACTGCCACCTTACCTATTTCTGCGTTCCAGTTTGGAAGGGTGAGGGTGCTGGGACTTATCAACTTACATCTCAGGGTGACAGTGCCAGTGGCAGTGCCCCTCGGAATTTTGCGATTAAAGCATGTCGCTTACCACCATATGCGCTCGACTGGTTCGTCTTGTCACAGGGTATCACGAAAACATTAAAAAAAAAACAAAATACCTTTTTACAATTTTTAGCCTTTTCTCTTCCGAATTAACATATTTCACAAGACTATCAATTACACTTTTTTGCGTTTTAAGTAACATTCGTATTTGCTCCACTGAACTGTAAAGTTCACCACTACATGAATTGATAAAAATAAAGAGTGCAACGTTCAATACGTGCAACTTGACCATATTTACAATCGCTTTGACTTTGGTAACAATACGACCAATTCCAATTTTATAGGTTTTTTATCATTATCGCGAGCCGTTAAGGATTTATACAATCCCGCAATTCATTAAAAATTGCTTGAACAATGTTGTCTTATACACCATGGTAACAAATTGATCGAAAATTAATTGATTATCCGGTACTTAATTGATTATGTATACAGGGTGTTTGTAAGATGGGTGAAAATTTTAAGCTGCAGCTAGTATTTAGAAGCACTTCGGGCATGGTTGTCATAGATGAAATAAAAAAAAAATTTTTACCTAAATTACAAATTTTTTGAGGAAAAGCACGGAAGAAAGAAAAGAATGGAAATGGCATCAAGCAACATTTCTATCAAAACCGGTGTCGCCACACGCACACGTTTGAAAACATAATTTTACATAGTACTAAGATAACATAATTTTTAATGGTTGTAAATTACCAAAATAAAAAACTTTTGGTAAAAAAAAAATTGGAACTTATTTGGATTAGGAACAGGTTTTATTATTACTAGTCACCAAAGCCAAGAATCCTATGAACATAAACTTCTTGGAACAAAAGCAAAAAGTTGACAATCTACAGATAGGGATGTCACATTTAATTGATATCGACATTATGTTTCATAACTAGCGGAATATTGAACGAGGCGTTGCTGTATACTTGCTATAAATAGGGTTAGTCACGGAGTATATAGAAAGGCATTTAAGCAATTTCTTCGAGAACTAGCGTAACTAACTTTTATACGCAAACATTTGTTACCAAATACGCATAAGGTTTTACTATACGCAAATATTAATTGATATTAGTTACGCAGGTGTGTGCATATACGTAGCTATATGCTACAATCACAGTAATAATGATTTATTATACTGTCATCGTACTTTCATTAACCTACTAGATTTCAAGTCAAGCCGATCACTGGAAGGGTTGAAATATTAAAACACAGTCATCATAAAAATCTTTATTGAAAATGATATATTTGTTCAACAATTACCTCTTTCAGAACTGGCTGAACATGACTACACCTATAGCGTGCGTATATTCTGAAGTATTATTATAGCGTCGACGAGCTTGTCAACAAAATGAAGATCATTTGTTTCATTAAAACTTGACGAAAAATAACTGACAATACTTCAGAAATGTTTTCACATTTAGATGTGGTCTATAATTTGTGAACACGACTCTGACTTTCATGTCATATATTACCTGATTAACCAAATGATTTATTTCTTAATGAATTTTTCGGTTGTTATTCGTATGTATATAATTTAATGTGATATCATAAAATGCCTATAGCAAATGGTTCTTAGTAGGTACCCAGTTTTTACTGCCTGTTGCTTCAGCCCATTTCTCCTTAAAAGGGATCCGGCGGGAAACTAAAAAAAATCAAAACAAAAACTGCAAATGTAAATCATGCCTGTGATAAAACTTAGAACTCAAACAGATGAAGGAGACGTATAATAAGCAAGTAGGGAGATAGGAATCAAGTAGATAAGGGAAAGAAAATCTCCAATCTCATAAACTTTTCATTTGATACTCCACGAGCTTACGTGCAATGTAAAATTATCGATACTGTACCTCTTCTATCCATATTTTCTTTTTTTTTTTTTCATTAATATATCGTTTTTACTTAAATTGAAAATTTAAAAAAAACTATTGCGAGTGTTGGTGCCAAACATTTAAGTAATCAAAATTGTTAGCTTTTAAATATTACAGGTACTTATTTATGTTTATGTTTACACAATGGCAACGCTATTATAAAAAAAATCTTGATACCAAAACCGGGTTTCTAAATACAGAGATTCTACATATCGATAATTTGATTAAAACACGCGGACCCAGTACCAAGTGTAATACGACGCTAGTGCAAACAAATCATTGAGCGTCATTCGAATTGTTCTTTTGATGGCGGCGATGGCTAGCAACCAATGTACATTGTTATTACCGGGTTGCAAGAAAATAGTTTTGTTTCGAAATTATAGTATTGTATTGTTCAAAATATTTGAAAATACAGAGTTTTAGTACTTACCGATGAAATGAACCGGAGTATTTTTTAAACTTTGGCTTCTTATGCAACACGGCATATTTCTATTTTTTCCAAAAATAATCATGTATCACATTTGAACGACGACTGACGCGCTGTTGACATTCATATGAACGTCGGTTCTTAAGCTAGGTAACTTGGACCCCGCCCACTAACCAGTCTATTACTGGTATTTATGTGGTCTATGGGAAAAACCGATAATATAAAAGTCATTTGCTTGCTAGTAATGAGCACATTAAATAATAAATCTTTTTATTTTAATTTTAATAAAGTACGCATGTAATAATGTACGCAATCTGATAAAACTATTCTAAGCATCCGTGTTATGTGAAATTTTATTTACAGACGTTTGAAATTTACGAAAATTTTTTAATAATTAACAAAACCGGATTTTTGACGACATTTAAAAAACAGGAGGGTGAATTTTTTGTTCAAACGTTTTTAAAAACATCCCTGATTATTACTCTTTCTTTTGATGCCATTTATGCAGATATCTACCTACCTACAAACCAAGTTGAGGTAGAAAATTATTTTTTCTAAGCAGTCGAATGAAACAACATGTTTGTACATGTACTGTACTCACAATTACCATATACACGTGCACAATAAGTCTTGGAGTTGATCTCGACACACAAACACCCTGTATATATCACCAGCAATGTATGTATTCCAGTATTCTACAGAATACCTCCGTATTCTATACAATGTTTCAAATAGTCAGTCAAAGTATGAAACAAACTATTATAAACTTGATCTAGGTATTTGTTAAAACAATGTGATATTAAGATGTGCCTGTGTGTTAATGATTAGTAGTTTATGTGACTGTTACATAATGAAAGGCATTAAAATAGGAGTGTGGGTTTAAACATCACACGAGTCTTTTAATGCCTAATTAAGTGCAGTTACATACACTGCTTTATCTACACACATATCCTCAGTTGTAGGATTAATTAACGTAACCACCAAATGGGCGAAAATGAATTGTACATATAGTTCGATAGAAAATTTTGCGCCCAATCGAATGGTGCTGTTAAAACAATAAAACCTTGAAAAAAAAATTGCGTTTACCTTACAAAAAAATGAAGATTCATTGGTTCTATAATCACAAAAATTTAGTGTATGATACATTTATAAGCAACTTGAGTCTTACTAAATTAACGTAACGACTAAGCCTACAAAAACATTTTGTTGTAATACAGTAATCGCTAAGACTTTTCTTTCTTACATTAAACTCACAGTTACATACAACAAATAATTATTAGTTACTTTAACTAATATCGCACTTTTTTTACAAGAAATGGACCTTACATTAATATTTTTACGTTATTACAGTAACTTCTTACTCAAACGTGTAATAAAAATTTCGAAACAGGATATTTTAAATGGAAATGGAATTTACTTACCTAGTAATATTTTAAACCCAAAAAATACTTATCTAAAACAATTTTAGATATAAACCTTAGTTTCATACTGATTCGTAAATAAAATAATTGTTTTCTAATTACATTTCTTTAACGTGAATATACACCTAAACTATGATATTTTTCTATACATATTTGACAGTTAGGTACTTTGTGATTGACTAAGTGATTCAAGTGAACTATCTATATACATGCCTGTTGACTCCATGCATAGTGTCATCGAACGATAGATAGTAAACCTTATTGTGTGGAGTCCTAAACAATGGGCTACATTCATACTTACCGCGCGGAGGTTTTCGCGCTATAAGAAGTTAAAGTCTTAGACCATGCCGATTTTACTGTTTGGCAAATAATTACTGGACAAATATTTACGGCTCCAACTATGCCTAATAAAAACTTAAAATTGGTATATAGTGCAAGTCACAATTCATAAATGTCGTTTGAGATACGTTAAAAATTATAATATATTTTGTCAGTTACGCCATAGTCAACATTCAATGTTATAAAATGCTGTATATAGCGTTTAACGTATTTGGAATAAGAAAAAAATAACGTAAGCGGCATGCTATTTTTGAAACTATCAGCTCTAGATTTATGCAATTAGATTGGGTTAAAGGTCCTTACAATTGCAAGAAACTTTGTTCAAACTTCATACCAATAAGATGAAAACAAATAAAATTTATAGCAATTTTCCTTAAAAAAAAATGGTTTTTAGTCTCTCCTGAAAAATTTACTTTTGGCCGTTACGTGAAATGATCCTACAACTAACGATATTATAAGCACTCTGTGATGTGTTCAGGAACCGCATGTTACGACTGGCGAAATGGCGGCAAATTAAAAACTTTCTCACGCATGTCACACAACCGTAGTTGCGATCAATTTTATTTTCAATTCATAGACAAACTAGAATCGGTTCCAACTATAATATCGTTCGATATCAAAGTCATCCTCTAACGTCAAAAAACGTGTGAAATTGTCAAAATTGTTTGCTATTGACATTTCATTTCGAATAAAACTTCATCTCGACAGATATTAGAATTGAGATCGAATCATTTTGTTTTTTAGAGATGTTCGAAATTTGAATGTAATAATATCGAATTCGATGTTATTATGAAGCAATAATAACATTTTCACAGATATTTGTTATAACAAAACAGTTTACCTTTATGCTGATCGTAATTTGTGGTTTTGAACACATTATAGAGAGTTTATAATATGTGTGTAGATTAAATATTTTATGCACGTCAAGTGTCACAATAATTCGTCTTGTAAAAATAAGTAGGTAATTAGAATAATTGGTAATTAAATTACAAATTATATTTGTTTAAAAAAAAATCGAAAATAATCATTTATCCCAGTATTCCCATGTACTCGGTTCCACGTGGAACCACTTTAACTTTAAAATGTCGTAAACACTACACTTTAGTAGCAGTAGAGCTCGTTGTAAAAGAGTTCGTTCAGGGAAGTACTGCCACCTTACCTATTTGTGCCGCCAAGCCGTAATGTCAGCATTACTGTGTTCCGGTTTTGAAGAGTAAGGGTGCTGGTGAA